AGCCCTATTGTCCGACGAATCACTCAACTTGGGGGTGGGGTGCAGAAATTGGGCATGTCAGTGAAGATGCTTGGTGCTGACGATCCACGTTTACAGTGCTCTTGGCACCTTAATAGATGGGTTGCTTTCTTAAGGCCTTTAGGGCTCAACATGGCGTCCGGCTTTGTTGAGGTCACGGAGGGTCAGGCGATGCTGATGAGGTCAGTTTGGGTCATCCAGCTTTGATGAGGTCAGCTTCATTATTGGTTGTGATTCCGAAAGTCATGGTCATAATGAAGTGGTGAGGATATTGCCTTTGACCATGTGTTTTGCCACCTGTGGACTAATTTTGCCCTGCAAAACGCTGAGCTGAACTTTCTCCACGGTAGTGACGGTACAGCCGCAGGAATTTTTATGTAATGGAACCTTACAAAGTAGTACAGAAGTATAAAGCTGAAAATAATTGTCTATTCTTGGGGACAGTTGGCTTAAAAACCAGAGAAAATATTTTGTGTGAAATTCACACTAGATCAGCACTTTCTACAATCCTCAGACCAAACCAGCCCCAGCCACCAGCTTGAACTAGTCTTTAAAAGTCACTTAAATCCCATTTTCTCGTCCATTTTAATTTTCGGTTTGCAGTTCAGCAAGTCATCTTCACCACTCGGTTATTCTTGTGATTTCTTAATTTGCCATTTGTTTTACAAGTAACTAAAGTGTGTTTATAAAGCCCTTTTTACAGACACAAACGTCACAAAGGACTGTGCAACCAAACGACAGTCGAGTTATACAAAGTATAAAAGCAAGGATTGAAACCACAGTAAAATCATGACATAAAAGTATGGGAAAACACAGTTTTCACTTGGTTAGTCAGCAGAGCGAAGCTGCTGAGGCAAACTGTTCCACAGGTTAGAAGCCACAGACCCGTACCCCTGATTTTGTAGTGGAGTACGAGGAACAGCAACACGATTCTCAGCTTGGGATCAAAGGTCACAAGTTGCAAAGTGTGGACAAATCAGAAGGCTGATCATTCAGACCCCAGTGAGTAAGAACAAGGACTTCAAATCAAATTTAAAAATCCACTGGGAGCCAGCATGGAAAGTACAAGGCTGGAGTGATATGAGTGCAATTACTAGATTTACTAAGAAGTCTGGCAACTGCGTTCTGAATAACTTGCAGAAGAGAAACTGATCATCTGTCCAGACCAATAAAAAGAGCACTGCAGTAGTCCAAATGACACAAAACACAGAATGAATGATGTTCTCTAGATTTGTTGAATGATATTCTCTAGATTTGTTCTGGAGACCATGTTCCTTATCCAATGTGAAGCTATGTCACGAGTTAACATACAATACTGTAAAAAAGTTTCCAGACAAATTTTTCTCCTATTTTATCACAGTTAGATGTTTCAGGTTATCAAACTTTTTTAAAATTTTTATTCTTTATGCCAGATAAAGACAACCAACACAGATCGCAGTTTTCAAACAGCAGCTTTACTTTTTTATATAAAAGGACAATACAGTGAGGCAAAAATTCAAACCGCACCACTCCTAAACGATGCAAATAAAAAGATATTGGCTTTCAATTTAGAATATTTTATTATCCCTGGGGGACAATTCATTTGCAGCAGATTCCGCAAAATTCACGCACAATAACTCTCACAGGAACAGCGAGAGAGAAAGAGAGAGAGAGAGAGAGAGACAATTTATTGGCCAAGATATGTCTGTAGTTAAAAAACTTTACGCCATTTTGTGAGTTTTAATATGGCGTTCATGCTTGAAAATTCTCCAGCGTTGCTGAATTAGAACAATTCTGCAGAAAAGAGTTGGCCTAAATTTCTCCACAGTGGTGAAAAAGTCTCATTGACAGTTACCATAAATGCTTGATGGCAACAATCAGTTAACATGGTTAGAGGCAAATTACTCTGACACATAGAATTACGTTGGCTTGAATAATCGAAATCAATATAAAACAATTGTAGGATATTAAAATATTATTGATGAGAGAAAAAATAAAAAATAAAAATAAAATGCTTTTTTTACAGTACTGTAGGCATCTTCAGAATTTTATTTAGAGATATCATAGTAAAGGAGGTAGAATATATTTCGACACAATTTGCTTAATTTCCTATTTCTTCCACTTTGCAATAAATGGAAAACAAAACTTTTTGTGGCTGCAAAAAAAGTGACAAAATGAGGAAACGTTCCAGGTTTATGAATGCATTTGCAAGTTGCTGCGTCTTCATAAATAGGTGTTTGCAGTGTATCTGTCTCCTGTAGTTTCCCAGTGGGGTCATAGGTCATGACGGGTACTCGGTGGGCAGTGCTTCATGGAGCTTGGAGCCACTCAGCTAATGGGACAGCTGGCAGAGCCTCAGAATCCATCAGGCCTCATTATAGCTCCCGTTCAGCCTCTCTTTATTCCCCATCTTCTCTCTCTCCTTACCCCACCTCTTTCTTCCCTTCTCTACCACCCCATCCGACTCGGCCGACCCTGTTTGGCATGTAGCTGCTCCACTCGCCTTGCTGGGACATACATCACACCCTCTGAACGGGTCGGGCCCCTGCAGCTGGCAGCTCTCTCCCTGATTGACTTGGCACCCATGCTGACTCAGACACCAGGGAAACCACTGGGGAGGAGGAAGAAGAGGTAAAGAAGATTGAGGGTGTGTCTCCCTCGAGAAGGTATTTACTAACAGCTGGCATAAGTAGGAGGTATAGAAGTGGGTGTTTTGGTTGGGGGGGTTCTCCCACAAATCATTTCAGCAAGTTTCTTCTGTCCCAACGCTCCATATGTACAAACAACTGCAGGCTAATCAGACCGCCCCTCTCCCCCCAAGCCTTGACCCACCCCTGACTTGTTTTTTATGTGTCTTTCTTTGCATCACTTCTGCAGCCTTGTCAGCTCCCTCTCCATGAGCAGCGGAGTTTAAAGTTGTGGTTTTGTTGCTCGGTTTGTTTCTTTCTTGCTGGAAGCTACGGGTCATTAGTGTTATTGATGGACACTCAGTACGGTTCCAGAGAACAAGCTGAGCAAGAGCGGTGCGGAGCAGCCATGCACATGGTTTTATTATGACAAGCCTAATCAGGACAGGCGTGGTGGCACAACCAATTGGAAGGCCTTCATTTGTTCATGGATTAGGCTGGATTTTAAAAAAAAAGCAGGCCAGCAGCATCAGTTTAGAGGGACGGATGCATTTATCCAACATGGGATATTTCTGGAACAAGCTGAACATAAATAGGGTTTATATGTTCATGTTGATGTTCATGTGCAGACTGGAGTCCAAGTTTCCTTTACAAGCTCTTTCCTGCATAGAACTCCACCTAGTGGTACAACTACAAAATGTGCCTCAACTCATATGGCCATCATTTAGAAAATAACGCCAAAACATAAGTGTGATTTTTTTTTTTTTTTTGTCCTCTCTTCTTTTCAAAGGCTTTAAACATTTAGAGTAAAAATTTCAATCTTAGCAAAACACACATCCAGAGTGTGGGAGAGTTTCTTGATATGGATCTTTTTACGTTTAACATTTATTTTTTCAGTCAACAACTGCCCTAATGGTGCAAGACGTGTTGAAATGATTCCCCCACCTCCTCCACTCATTTCTTTATCTGTGCAGACAGCTTTGTCAGCGATAGTTCAAAACACCACGGCCCTCAGGGGGATCCGGTTCAACGCAGAGGGCCAGAAATGATCTCTGGGACATGAAGCTATGGCAGCGAAGTGATAGAATCTCTTTTGTGAAGAGTGGCGTACGCTTAATTACGGCGAAAAAGTACCCATGATGCGATCTTAGTGTTTACGGGCTATTTCATTGCTGGTTTCCTGCCACCCCCCCTCCTTGCTCTTTCTCAGCCTCTTGATAAGTATGTATCCATGCAGCAGCTTGGATTTCTTCTTGTTTTTGCCAGAAATCTTTAAAAATTCATTAAGAGATAATCAGAAGAAAATTGACATTTTAAAATTTTAACACCAGTCAGAAAAATAAAGATTTTCTCTGAGGCAGCTCCAGAATCAAGATTAAACAAAAAATGATCTCAGTCATGAACTATAATTGTAAGCATATTTAAGGTCTGGTATTCAATATCTTCTAAATCTTACCAGAAAAATCTATTCTAGCGTGCCAGCTCCCTCCTCGCCCATCTTCATGCATGGAGGGGCAGATACAGTGGTGCAGTGGCCACCCAGAACACGGTGGATGGATGGCGTCTCTGGGCCTGTTTGACTGGAAACAGGTGTGTGTCATCTGAAGATGAAGGCCCAGCCGATAAACATTATTGGAGAACATCTGCTGCTTGTCACAACACAGGGTGAGCTGCAGCGCTCCAACATCCATCAGCCACACCGGAGACTGGATCTGTGTGTGTGCGTGAGGTAAGGGGGCTCGATCCCTCGCTGGTGAGTCCGTTCACCCATCACTCACCCCGGGGATGCTGGATGGATGGTGGAAAAGGGGGAGAAAGCTCGGTCCAGGCGCTTTGCCGGACCACGTTTGCCCGTGGCCATTAGTCGTGGACATGCTCCAGTGAGCTTGAAAAATGTCACTGGGAAGTGTGCACTTGCTATCTGACACACACACGCATGGTCAGACACACAAGTCAAGATCATATCTCAGGTGCACAGACATACACACACACACGAACACGCACGGTTTTGTTGTACTCAAAATTCATTGAAATTGATACAAAGCAAAATATTATACAAGAAATGCACAGTTCCAATGTTTGCAAGAAACAAAACCCCAGAAGAAAATATTAACAAAACACATTTCACAATTCTTACGTAATGTAGCACAGCTGAAGTGACCCAGATTGGCCACTGACAGATGCAATTTGTGTTTTAATTATTAGGAAAAATACAACAAGATAATTGATAAAGAAGCTTAAATTACATGTATTTCCGTAGAGTTTTGGAGTAAATAAACTGTGAGGATGACACTATTACAGCCTGAGCTAAATTGTTTCAATAAAAATGACAAATCTAAAATATTTTTTCTCACATAATATGTAACAGGAAAAAAATTCGCAGACACAATGTTTTATTTAAATAATATGAATATGCAAAACATTCTTTGGCTGTGCACGCCATGTACACTGACTTCAAAGACATGGAGCTGGATACAAGTTTTATCTTATGAGAAATAGGACAATTGTAAGGGAGAAAAAAACTTTTTACAGATTGACTGAGTAAAAACTTACTCGTATCAAGACTTAACTTTCTCACCACCATGTTTCACCATGAGCATGGTGTCATGAAATCCATGCAGAGTTCTGCATTCAGGACAAATTTGACTGGCTTGTCAACTCCTTTACTCATATGTGTGTGTGTGTGTGTGTGTGTGTGTGTGTGTGGGTGGGTGTGTTTTTTTTAATTTTAGCAAACTCCTGAGGCCTTCGCAGAACAGCTGTAATAAAACTGAGATTAAATTAAACATAAATGGGCTCTTCTGATCTAGCTATGTCTGAATTATTGGATTTTATTAAACGGTGCCCGATTAAAGAGGGCTGAATACAAATGCATACCACACACTTTAGATTTTTGAAAATTTTTGAAAGCCATTCACATTTTTCTTTTCCTGTTACTTTGTGTTGAACAATCGCATACAATCGCAAAGAAATCCAAAGTGTATAATCCAGTGGTCTCAAACTGCAGTCCTCGAGGGCCAGAGTTCTGCAACGTTTAGATGTGTCACTTGTCCTACACACTTGAATGAAATGTTGAAACTGCAGTTAAACTCTACAAAGCTCTGCTAATGAGCTAATATTGGAGCCAGCTGTGCTGAACAAGAGAGACATTTAAAATTTGCAAGACACCAGCCGCGAGGACTGGAGTTTCTAAAAGTAAGAATACTTTTCTTGTTCCTTTGGTATCCGACAATATTTTTCTATTGCTTGAGTTCTCTGGTACCTGTACATTTACTTATGAAAAATGTCATGAAGCTGCTCTTATTTGAATGATTTTTAATCAAAAGTATCATATAACGTTTCTACACACTAAAACTTAGTTTGAAATGCATTATGCAATTGAACAATTGCTGAGTTCATTGTTTTATCATGAAATGGATCATTACTGACTCAATATATGTCAAAAGGATCCAATTTCATTCAATGTATCAGCTGCTCTGCAGGTATTTGTGTGTGTTGTAAAACCAGCTTGAATCAGACCTGAGTTTATGGTCCTCCAAAGAAGTTTCACATGCTGGTACCTGTGGTTGATTGTCTCAGACTCAGTGAAGGAGTGCCAGCCTCTGACAACTGAGTACCAGCTACATAGATCCAATGTAAGCTTCTCAAAGATGATCAGAGCAAAGCTACGCAGAGCCAAGTCCCGACTTTGAGTGTCCAGTCAGGAATTTTCACCTCTGTTTGGGTTATGTGGTTTTGCTGCCTGTTTTTCTATTTCTGTGAGACACAGACATATTCAGCACTCCTGAGGTTTGGTGCAGCCACGCTGAAAATGGAAGACAGGGGAGGAGGGAAAAAAATGCAAAAAGACATCAGCACTAGTTGAAAATCAAAAGCAAATGTTCAGGGGTTTCTGAAGAGGAGGTAAATGCTCTGTAGTTTCCCCCGTGCACTTTGCTGTGAGTAGGTAAAACGAAGACAGCCTAAAGCCTAGCCTCATGCTGAGTGCAGATTAAAATAGCTGTCAGGAGAAAGGAGCACCTATTGAAGGAGACAGGGTGACATGCAGAGTGATGGTGCTCAGCCTCTCACACTTCAGGACACAGTATTTTACCGAAGCTGGTTCAGCTTTACAGCCTGCGACCTTATGTCCCGCTTCGCTTTAGCTTTGCCGTTTTATGTCGGTGCAAATGTGAATGGCAATAAGGAACTCAAGTTTACCTTTGCTACAAGTGGAGCCGATCCAGGTGAGCGGACAGAGACATCTGCCATTTACCCGGTCACAGTGGGAGCTATGGAAACACTGGCACAACAGGGAGCAGTTGGGGCCAAAGTGGTCTCCATCACAGCCTGACAGGAGAGGCAGAATGGGAGGAAAAACATTAGGCTTAGGAAATGAAGGAATTTGCTGCATTAGATAAAATAACAGGAATGTAAAGAGAGCTAACAAAAAATATGGTTCTGAGATTACTTTTTTCACAGCTCTCTCCCCACTGGCCTGAGGGACAGAGACATCTACCAGTGGATGGGTCACATGACACCTCGGCAGCACAATTACAGGACTTCATACAGTTCAATCCAAAGCTGCCATTGTCACATTCTACAAGTAAAAAAGAAAACACACACAAATATATCATTATCATTAGGAATATTTTCACGTCATCCTGATAGTTAATTATTTGCCTCTGTAGCATAAACTGATCAAACATAACACACCTGCCTAAAATATTCATCTAACTTATTGGTGGCTATCAAGGCACATAGACAACAAACTGCAAGGGATTATGCATTTCAATTATTAATACAATCAAACCCTTCTTATAATTATGGGATTAAAACCTGCTTAAAGGTTGTTGATCTAAAGAGGTACTTTTATACTTTTAATCTGATAAACGTGTCTCACAACTGTGGATCTGATTAGTGTGCATTTTCTAATTTATTGAACATGATAGCATGCAGTTACTTATTACTTTTTTACACAACAAACATTTATGCTTTCGATATTAGACAAGACATATGGATACATGCTCTCATACAGACTCATACACTTCACCACACAAGTGATAGATTTATAAATATTTTTATTCAACCGATAAGTTTGCTTCTCAAGAGACATGAGAGCTGTATCTCCTCAAAAATAAATGTTGGAAAAGCAATGCCAGAAAATGTAAAAATAATAAGGTAAAAATATTATTGGCATCACAACAATCAAACCCTTCTTATAGCCATGAATGGGCTTTTAGAATATTCCCACTGTCATCTCCAAATCTTTCTTTCTCATCTTATCTATTAGATTCAAGTCAAGATTGTCTGCATCTATTCCTCAGCTGCCAGACACATTTTCTGCTGGTGCTAAAGTTGTTGTGTAGATACTCACACTGGTGCTGAGGCCCCCACAAGCAGGCAGGAGGCCACAAGGACGTAACAGAAATGCATTAACCATAGGAAAGCATCTCACTCTTACTTGAAAAAAACAAACATAAAAACAACAAAAAATTTTCCCTATAATCACCTAAAAAAGAAACCCTTTCCTGTCTTTGTGACAGAATATTTTCCCTTTTATTCATTCCTTTTATGTACAAAGGAAAGTAAAAGCACACCCTCCTTAAGACAGGTGTCTAGTCCTTGATAGCTGCTATCTTGATTTTTTTTTTCAAACATTTTGTTTCATACTTCATTAATGGGTAGCCACGTGTACTATACTTACGTCTTTCACATTGTGAGCCTTGATATCCTGGTGGGCACAAACATTTGCCTGTCACATGATCGCATGCTTGGCCCATGTTACAGTCACATGTGAACTGACAATTCAATCCATAAAATCCAGAAGGACACTCTGGAAAAAAAGATATCAAGGTAAAGCTACAATTTTCAAATTACCTGTTGATTCAGTTCTTACCAAAGTGTTCATGAGTCAGCTTAAAATCTGAATTTGCAAGACTTTGCATACCAAGTTGACAGTAGTGGCCATAGTACCCAGCAGTACAGCTGCAGCTGCCAGTAAAATGGCTGCAAGTTCCATTGTTAAGACATTGGCAGTGTTGTGCACAATCAGGCCCATATTTTCCTGCAGGACAGACTGAACAAATACACAAAGTTACAACAGAAATGTACAATTGTGTACAATGGATATAAGCAGTTAACACTGTTTTTGACATAGACACAAACTCCTAAAAAATTAAGCAAATTAAGTAAGATCATAATAAATAGAAATTATAGACATCATCGTGTGAGTAAATAGGGATTATACTAAATAAGATATGCTTTTAGTAGCATCCATTTTTTCTATAAAAACAATGTTTTTGTAGGTTTCCTGACAAAAAACGTATCACTTTGCACGTCTGAAACCTGCAACAACCACAGAGATTTCCTGAGTTGCAAATAGTAATTTTTTTCATTATACTTTAACTATTAAAAGCAATTATCAAAACACAGTACACACTACTTTAAGGGACAGTACAATGAAACAAAACTATGTAGTTGGGCACCTCTGATGACTCAGAATACCTGTCTCACATTGGGGTCCAGTCCAGCCCAGTCCACACTTACAGGATCCGTCAACAGGATCACATACAGCTCCATTCTGACAGCTACAGGCGTACCTACACTGCAGACCATAGCGTCCTTTTGGACAAGCTGCAAAAATGTTAACACAAAGTCATACACTAACTAGCATGTCCTACTCAAACACACACACTTACAACACGGTACTGAAAGTCATCATGTTTATTTAACCAACAGTTCATTATGGAGATGGCAAACTAGCCTAATTTGGCACTGATATAAAAGAATAATCATGTTTCTTTGGGTAATTTAGTGTCCGGAAAACAATAAGCAAGACATCTTTGATTCCCGTGTTTATTTATTTGCATGCTTGCCAAATCCAGTGACACGGAACACGGAGAATGAGCTACTTCTAGGTTTCTGTAAACATTCAACAAGAGCAACTTAAGAGGTGGCATGTTCAAGTACACGCAGGAGGATGAGGAGGAGAACATTTAGCCCAAGCAGAACTGGAAACCCCCTGTCTGCAATCCTGCTGAATTGCTGATAAAAGGAGAGATTAAGAAAACTCGGCTCAGCCTCCTGTTTCCCGGGAATAAAAACCCTGTGATCATGAGAGGCCGCACTCTGAGGAAATGGAGAATTTGTTCCTTCAATATACAGTGAAAAATGTTGAAAACTACACCCTCATTTTGCTGCTTGTTTGTCAGTCTCTGTTGGGTCTCTTGTTTCCAAAGAACTCATTAAAGCCAATGGTTTCAAATGATGCATGTCTGCCTCAGTGGTGAGTCTCTGTTTACTCATGGGAATGGTAAAAGATAAAAAGCAGAAGAAAAGCCTGGGTTGAAATTTGTGACATGGTGTGACTCAAAGTTGAATAATAAGCTGACTCTTACGATTTCAAAGATGGACCTTTATTTTTACCAAAAACCTTTGGTAAACTGTTGTGCACCTTGTGATGTTTGTATTCGAACTATCATATGTTTCTACCATGTAGTATAATGTTGATTGATGTCATAAATAGTAGCTTACCCTGTTGGCATGATGCCCCTGTCCTTCCGGGGCCACATATGCACCTTCCAGTTACTGGATGGCACTGCGCTCCTTCAGCACAGGAGCACAGCTTTGCACAGTCCTTCCCGTAGTATCCACCTGGACAACCTGCACAAGCAAATGACTTCATAGGACTTAAACAGTTATTCCTTTGTTATCAAATATTATTTCTAAAACAAACATATTGGGTTCAATTTGAAGTAAATAAGATGATGCTTAAGGTTTTTTTCTCCAACTTACGGAAACTGCAGTCAGCGCCAATGTAGCCTGGATGACAGTAGCATGTCCCAGTCCGAAAGTCACAGCGACCGCCATTGATGCAGGTGCACTTGGACTTGCAGTTTGGCCCAAATGAACCCGCTCGACACCCTGGAGGCCACACAGGACAACCGGAAAGAGAAACAACAGTGATTTTATTTAGTTTTAGAGGGTCTAATTAATTATTCATGCTATAAGCATGTTTTTTTCTGACTCTTTCAGTGTTAACAAGAGAAAAGCATCCATGCAGCTTAGAAGAAAGCATAAGCTTAAAGGCCATGCGTAATCACTCATACAATTATTTTTCCACTGTATTCAGACTTTAGCTGTAAATAGTTACATTTATTTGTAAAAGACACTTGAGTATCATGCATCACTTCCCTTCTTCTTTATGTAATGCATTAACTTGTGTTCAGTCTATCACATAAAATTCCAATAAAATAACCTAAGGTGTGTTTATGATATGACAAAATGTGATATGGGGTGTGAACTCTTCTGAAAGTTACTATGCCCACCTTCTTGGCATGTTCCTTAACATCAGTTACCCAGGCAAATAGAAAACAAAAGCCCATGCTTTGAAATATGTCATGCTGAAATCACATAAGTAACAGCAGACTCACGAAGCTCACAGCCTGGCCCATAGTAGCCGGGTGAGCAGCTGCATTTCCCTGTCGCAGGATCACACTGCTCATGGAGCCCGGAGCATCGGCACAGCTGGCTGCAGTTTTGTCCGAACGTGCCAACAGAGCAGGCTGGGATGATACAACCAGACACATCCAGCATTACAGTCAGGTGAACCAAAGACCATGGATTAACAAGCTACAGATTAACAAGGTCATGAATAAGATCACAAGGAGAGATAAAAATATTGAGACCTACACAGGTGATCTGTTTCAGTTTCTGACAATTTTGTGATCTTAAATCTGCAGGTAAAAATAATTAAAAGTAAAGCAACGAGTAAAGCGCCACCACACTAAATGATCACATTGTCCAGCTTTGCCTGGTTGTGCAGAAAAGACCGTAAGCCGTGCACACATTCAGCAGTTTGTGGGAACAAAGACGCGTGCCATTTCCCTTTCCTCTCTTTTAGATAATTCTGTGAAAACAGCGAGGCATTCAGCACTTGACTGGTAACAAACCCAGCACTCCCAGCAACTTTCCCTTGTGCCCGAACCCGGCCGGACATTCTTTCACACACCCTCTCCGCCTATCTGCATATACACTCATCACAATAATGAATGAAGTCTCCGGACAATCAGTCATAGTGACCAAGATGAATCTGTGAACCAAACGTGTTTTCGGGTGAGACCGTGGCACTCTGCTACGCAGTTAGGCAGCAGCAGAAGGCAGCGAGGGGGACAGATAAGAAAGGACTCCAGACTAAAGAGGCAATTACAGCGCTGTCATTATGCATGTCTGCCTTCCAAAAGCCCTTATCCGCCGCCGAGGAGACAAAAACAATGCCTTCTGTTTTACTTGGCAACCGGTGTGTAACATTTATCAGATGTCGAGGGAGTGTGTGAGGAGAGGAAGGGAGCTGGAGTGGTTAGGTAGGGGGGGGGAAGAAGGAGCAGTGAGGCTAGTGAAGCTGTTCGTATACAGCCCTACAGGGTATGGTATAAATAATGAAACATTCTCATACAGTCCTGTGATAGTGAGGGTCTCACATAGAGGTGGAGTGCATTTCCTAGAATGGAGTAAACTGTAAACTTTCCCAGGAGCCAGAGAAAAGAAGGGGATTTCTAATCAGCATGAAGTGGGCAAACTGACAGCTTCTCACCTTGCCGCTAAAGATAAATATATTTTGCTGACACCAATGTTCTTTTTTGTTCTTACTTTTCTCACATCTGGACCCCGTGAGTCCAGCGGGGCAACCACAACTCCCCGACTTGTGGTCACAGGGCACCCCAGGGCGGCACTGACAACGCCGGGCACAAGAAGGACCGTAGAACCCGGGAAGGCAGGCTGATTGTCCGTGGAGGGAAACATAATTATCTCAGGAAAATGCTCTATTCTGCCTGATTCACGCAGCTGCAGTTTCTTCACCCCACTCCCCACACGCACACTCACGTTTGTCACACCTGGCTCCCCTCCAGCCTGGCCGACACTCACAGCGACCCGTCATGTGGTGGCAACTGGAACGGTGGGCACAGTTGCACCTCCGCTCGCAGCGGTCCCCGAAGAATCCCTCAGAACAGGCTTCAGAGAAACACACAGGCGTTTGTGATCAGCATGAATTCAAGCCGTGGTTACTGAAGAAGCACAACCACAGATTCAGGTTGTGGGAAGAGAGGCTCTATTTCCATCTCTTTCAATGTCAATGTGCGGTCATAGAGAGGTTCTAAATTCACCTAATTGACAGTTTTCTCCAATCCAACCAGGCAGACACAGACATTTTCCAGTCACCTTGTCACATCTCCCTCCGTTTAAGCATCCACATGTTTGTGTGCAGTTCTCGCCATAGTTTCCTTCTTCACACTCTGTCAGAGTAAAGCCAAACAATTATATTATTCATCTAGAAAATGTCATCATGCATAATCAGGATGCTTTATTATCTGATTAAGATAATAAAGCCTTTTAATATCTATTTTTTTTTGTTTGTTTTTGTGGATTGACTCACCGAACTCACAGGCAGCTCCTGTGTGTCCCGGGGGACAGGAGCACTGGCCAGTCACGCTGTGACAGTAGCCTCCATTTTGACACAGACACTTGTTAGAACACTGTTCCCCATAATGTCCTGATGGACAAGCTGCATTCACAAAGGTAAAAGTTTACAAAGAAGATAAAAAAGAGCTCAGTGTATATGGTAAGGTTGAATTATAGCTGCTTGTCTTGCTATAATTACTGAGACTGTTTCCAAATTTTGTAGTCTTTTTAAACAATCTTAGGAATTTTACAGGAAACTGAAGTGAAGGAGTGTGACACAAAGTAGTGAATAACAATGAAGTGGGAGCAAACAAACAAAGTGGGAAACTGTTTCATCCATTTATATTTAGCTTTTCTTACTTTGGTGCACATGAAAGAATTTTAAGGGACGACTCATAAATCAGTAAATGGAGTCCAACTGTGTGTTATTCTTAGCATCTGTGAAGGTCACAGAGGAACTTTTGTTCAACAGCATCACAAAGACCACAGAACTCACCAGAGAGGTGATAAATAAAACTGTGGAGAATTTTTTAATTAAAACAATGTTTCTAAAAAAAAACACAACAATATGTATATCCCTGAATATATCATCCCAACTGTGAAGCATGGTAGTGGCAGCATGATTTTCATCTCAAAACTCTCAATACAAAGTTGATGCATCCAAACCCCTAAGACGCGCTGCAAAGTATTAACTCAGGCTGAACTTCAAAGCATCAAGCCAAATGTTGAAAATCATCTAACTCTGTCCTTCCGCTTCACAGTTATGTGCTACATTGTATTATTTTGTGAAATAGCACATAAAATCCCAATGAAATTAATTGAAATATGTAGTTGTAATGTGAAAATAAATTATATGTCAAGTTTTAAAACTGTGCAGCTTTGTTTTTAAATTGACCCAAGTTTCTTAAAAGTGCAGTGTCTGGTAATACTGTGTATGGAGTCATGTGCTAAAACCATACTGAGATATTGTGCAGCCTCTTTCCTCACATCTCTGTCTAATCACTCCTTAAACAGAAGGTTCCAGAGGCACAAAACCAAAAAACCAAGTTGCAAAAACCAAAACTCCAACATCACTAAAAGATGTTTGATATTTTTTTAAAACACTGATAGATCTGAGTGTGCAACAGTTAATGGACGTTCAATGAGTTTCACTTATCTACTGGTTCACCACAGGTTTAATGTCTCTTTTTCCTACTATTTATCAGTGACTGTGTATTGAATAGTAACGTTTTTGGAGGATATTCTTGCCCTCTTCTTTTACTTCATGTTATCGGTGCAATAAAAAATAGTCCATCCCTATCTGTACTTTTAAGAAAATCTTCTGAAATGATTGCTCTTCTTTTAATTTGTCTCTGGCCAATATGACTAGACTTGGTAATCCGACTGAGGTGGCTGGTAAGATTTTGGTGAGGACTCAAATCCAATCTGTGGACTTTCAGGTGCTGAGGAAGGTTACCTCTGTCATGTTATGTTCGGATCATCGTCTCTTTCCAGCTTCTTGCCTGCCATAAAAAAAAGAGACATAGAATCTCTTTTGTACCTGATGTTATGGTTGGGCTTAATAAACTAAAACTATAAGCGCTCTTGCCTGTCATATTCCATTTTACACTTTGTGGACACTGATGTGACCACAAAGCGGTTCTGTTCCGGTCGTCTTCTAGAACAAAATAAGTGCTGTGTTGTGTATTGTGTTTCAATTTATTGTGCTATTTGATGAGCAAACATGTTGCAAATTAATTTCCTATTTTCATCCAACCATTGAGGCTATAAAGTTTGTAAAGTTACTGAAGTGGTGAAATACTCACGCAGTTGGCAATGGGGTCCAGTCCAACCATCTGTGCAGCTGCATCGCCCAGTGACGTGGTCACAACTGCCCTCATTCTGACACTTACAGGTCTGACCGCAGTCCTTTCCAAATCTACCTTCTTGGCATTCTGACAATGCAAAACATACGTGGGCACAATGACACAATGACTAAGTATTGCCATGCAACAGAAAGTCCTCCACAGAAAAACTGCAGAAGACCAAGCTTTAGTGTTATATCTTCAGCAAGGTTGGTTTCAAATAAACGCATTGCTAACTGAAAGGTGAACTTGACATTTGGCGCTTGAGAAAAAAACAAAATGTGCAAATGGCAAAGATAGATCATTAGCTCATATTAGTGGCTTTCTGCTGACTCGAGCTCTGATAGCTGGAACCACAAAATGGCTGCGGAAAAAGCAAAGCCATGAATAAAGCTGCAGAATCACAGACTTAGAATTTTAGTGGGCAATTCACAGGCTTCATTAAAACAAACCCATGAAATCCTCAAGAAACTTCAGCATGAAAACACTTATTGGTTAGCTGCTAAAAGACTCTTCCAACTTATTTTCTCCCTTCCCTGATTCTGATCTCTGTATACATGTGGGTGCATTTATCTAGAATAGACCTCAATTAAACCCCGGGTGCCAGAGGGCACTCTCGTCCTCCCTCCACTCTCCTCCCTTACGCATCCCTAAAAAAGTCATTGGCAATGTCTCATTATATAGATAATTGTTTACAAACACATCTTAGTTGTGCTTTTAGGAGAGGATGTCGTGAAGGGCCGCAGCGAGGGCCTCCCTCACACCCTGTTTTAATGATGTGGCTTCCATTACCCAGAATGCAGTGTGGTCCTGCCCAGCCGGCGGTGCACAGGCAGGCTCCTGTGATGTGGTGGCAGCGGGCACCGTTCCTGCACTCGCACATCTGGCCACAGTCAAGCCCGTAAAAGCCGTCCGGGCACGCTGTGGGCCGAGATAAAACATCCGACTGGTTAGAACTGGCAGCGCAAAAGGTTTGATGCCAGCTTTTTTCACATACTTCTCTCTCTTTCTAAAAAGTCTTACACTTCCCCTCCTACTTTCCCTCTCAGTCCTGCCATCTCCCCAAAATACCAATATCAAATTGCAGTACCACGCTGCGGCGGCAGCTGAGCGCCTGCGTTCGTTAAGTGAGCTCCTGTCCCCCACATGTGTGGTGGATCTGGGCCACATCAAAGTTTATGGCGGATCAGAGGCCTCCCTCAGCCCCCTCCTTTCTTTAGGGTAGAGGGGGCACGAAAAGCCGGTAAATAGAGCACCTGCTGTGTGCACAGGCCCCTCCAACCTACGGTAAAACAAAGCCTGGTTACTGTTCTCCACACACATACCTACGATGCTGCTGCAGAAACAAGCAGATGCCAGTCTGAGGGTCTGTTTCCCATTCTCGGTGAGGGCTAAAAGTCTGTTAAAGTGTGCACAAAGTCAAGTGACACTCAGAGTTTTCTAAGCATGGTGTCCACTCTCAAAAAAGAAGCTAGCCAGAGGCTGGAGCATGAATGGGCCTTTTCCACCACCAGGATGTAAATATTGTCAGCAAACATGACTTCATTCAGGCAAAAGCTGAAACTAAACAATGAAAATGTGTATAGTACACAATTTAGCTGTGTACCATCCACTAAAACTTTACATTACAGTTTATTGCCATTTTGTTCATTTCTGACCAACAATCTCATTCCTCATTTATAACTGATAGCAGACTTGATTAAACCAAAATTATTCCAATTAACCCTCTGTGAGTAGATATGATTTATTGGAGTCTTAGAGTTTGATATCAACAGCCCCATGGAAGCTGGCACCATTCACATCCACTAAGGTTGGTTATGATAGGAACAAAACTGTAAAGGGAGGAAATGATGAAGGGGAAAGAGGGTCTGCTTCCTCTTTGGTGCCTTGGTTTTCTGCTACAACAGCCAAACCTGAGCAAGAAATTTGATGAATATTTTCCAAGGGGGGAGGAATCATCTTTCTTTAATGCCGCATCACCTTTTCCTCTTCTCCTCATTTCAGCTCTTTTACCTCAAGGCCTTACACTTGTGAAAGCATCTTTCCTGCTCAGCAGTTTCTCGCCTGGTCACTGCTGTGTTCCCACGCTGACAGCATGACGTCTTTGCCTGTCTTAGAAGTGGTTAGAGAGCAGTTTTATTGAAGCTGGCCCACTGAGGATGCTGTCATCCTAAAACAGCTGTACATTAACTTAGCGGTAGCAAAATGGACACTTTATTGTCTGTTTATTGTCTGGACTGTATTTGACACCATGGCAACAAGGAGAGGATTACCCTGGGATATTTATCTGCAAATTCCACAGTGGCTCAGCACATTAAAATATGAACAGTTATAGTGAAACACATTCACTGTGCTAAGTCCTTACATGTAGTTGAGAATGTACTTCACTTTTTCATGCCAGCAGGGGGCGGCAAGTATTCATATTCACAGCAAGGCACCAATGTGGCCTCTGGTAGCAGAGCATTGACATATAGTATTTATAAATATAGACTCTTCCCTATGATTCTTTGTTTATAGGTAGGAACAGATGTTTTAGCCAAAAGCCACACACACAGAGACACACACACACGCACGCAAATGCACATACGGGCCATCAATGAAAGCCTCCATCTCTTGACTAAATGAGCTCTTTAAGACAGCGGGATTATTTCCAGATCCCTGGTTGTGTAAGAGCCACTGCTGTCAGACTATAAAGAAGGTCCAGGGACCACACAACCAGCGAGAGCACACCACAGAAACAGACCGGAGAAACAGAATGCAGAATAAAACTTCCTGGTGCCAATCAGGGCCTAAACAACAACTAAACAAGCAACAATAACACGGATGTATCGACGTTCGTTGAGCCGGAGTTCTTTCTTCTGCAAACAAAAGGCAGCATTTTGAAGCAAACATCAAAGATGCAGAGCAGTGCAATCCACATTAATTGTACCTGGAGAAGTAAAAGTTCTAGTCGTAACACAGAAAATAGGCCTCTTTTCTTTAATAATAATTGACTCAAATGTTTCCCATCAGCACCACAACAAGGCTTCTGACAAAGTCACATGGTATATAGGAATCCCCGAGAAGCTACAGCACTCTTCACAATTATTTATACCCCTGGTAAAGAGGTGTAAAAAATCATTTTTTATTGCAGCAGTACGGTCTGACACACACAAAGAAAAATCTCAAGGTGAGAAACAATCAAAACCGCAATTTGTACAGTTTTTTATTTCTTATTTTCATTTTACCTTCATTTACACAGGTTGTCTAATTGAGAACTAAAATATAATTTACAGGAGAGATTTGTTCATTATTGTTACTTGTTGCCTCTTCTAATATGTCTAGTAATATAAATACAATTCTGACTTTATTTTACCTATTTTTTACCTTTTGAGTCCATGAACTAATATATTTCCCCTTGGAAAAAGATTGCACGACACAGAAGTCCTTGCCTTTTTGTTGTTCTTTAAAATGGGAAAATGTAGACTATATGACTATTTTATATTCTTACCATTTAAGAAAGAAGACATACATTAATCATTATAACTTTGAAAACAGAAACAAGAACAGAGCTGCCTGAATAAAGTCGTGCAGAGTGATAGTTAAATAGTTTAAAACAACTCAAACTGTGATAAACAAAACCAGATGAAGACCCAGGTTCATTTTAACACCACACACAGAGAGCATTATGGTGAGAGAAGGTAAAAATATCCAAAGCTCAGAAACCAGTTGCATCATCAGGCCTCTACCCAATTGTTTGGGAAGAATACTAGAAGAAAGTATAGAAATTTTTACCGTCACAAATGTAAATGTGGGCAGGTTGATTCTTGGACTTTGTGACTGGAACCATGTGCTTTGGTCAGATGAGATTACGATTAAGCCTTTCCACCTTTATATCCACTGTTAGGGATAGTGGAGGATCTGTGATGTTGTGGGCATGTTTACCAAAGGCCATAAAAGGTGCTTGTCATCATTAACTATTTGAACTGCAAAAATCTTTTAAATACTAAAAATCAGGTAACTTCCACCATAAAATACTTTCTGCTGGTAAGTCTGAATTTCTCCACCCAGGGACAACAAATATACACTTCTATTCTGTTCTACTATATTCTATTCTATCTAACGCTCAAGAGCTAAATGCTACATAAAACGTGTGGATTGAGCTAACGAGAGCACAACGAACAAAATAAGAATGTAGATCATCTGAAAAAACTTTTTGTCCATTCATCTTTGTATCTTCAACCTTTTAGAGGGAAGCTCTACAGAGAGAACATTCAGAGTGTTCACACATCAGAACATTTCTTGAGTAGGAAAATTGCACACCTTCATTTTGACTGGCTCACTTTCATCCTGCACTTTTGAAAATGGACTAAACCGCCTCGTCAACATAATGCAGTAATAACTCACTAACAAGAAACTGCGCAGCAAGAGCTGTTGGCGAACCAATAGATTATTTAGGATGTTGGTCTGTTACATGAGTCAAATGCAAATGTAGCAGAGGGAAAGACAGTGGCATCCTGCAATGGTGGCACAATGTAAAGCGAGTTATAAGAAGGAATTTAATGTTTTCATATCACATATATGTATGTAAATCTTGTCATATCCTGCCTTGGTTTCACTTTCTTGACCATCTTGCTAGATAGGTCGGTTGTTTTACTACTTTCAGTTAACTGCACCAAGGTTTACTTGCAGATGAACCATGAATGAGATTTCCATTTGTCTTGACCAAATTTCCCTTGTTTGGTTCCTGGCAGAGATCATGATGTGGACCACCCGAATAAAGGAACTCTGGTCTGCTTTAAGAGTTGTCCTACTGTCAGACTGATCGGATGTGCACCAATCATTCTCCCTCTCCTCCTACTAACTTTTTACTTTCATAAACTTTGAAAATAATTCTATATTAATTGCCTGTGTCTACTCTGACTTCTCAAAACTCCAGTAGGTTGTGGCAGATTGTATTGAATCAAGTTCTGCCAGAGATTTCTTTCTGTTAATGGGTAGTTTTTGTTTTTCTCTACATTGTCACTACATGCATGATTGGTATGAGGGATTGCTGTAGTGATGACTCAATGCAACCGATTTTGTACTGTTGCTATGTGTTCGATCAGAAGGAGTGAATGCTCTAAATCAAAGACTCGATCCAATCTGCTGGGTTCCTTAGAAAGAAACTTTTTAAGCTGCCTTGAGCTGTACTGTTGAATGACTAGGATCAGGATCAGGTAGAATATACTGTATATATGAATTAATTAAATGACTTTTTTGTAAACTACCTCCAAACTACATTTGTTGGGAATTGGCACTATATGAATAAACTGACCTGGAATTAAATTGAACATTCAAAGTGTTGACAGCAGGGGTGACTCAAGCTGTGGGAATACATATGATTATGTGTAAATCCACCTGTGTGGGATTCTTCACCCATACTGAATAAAAGAGGTCATATTAAAGATTGGATTTTTATTCAACCCTTTTAGTTTCAAATTATATGCGGCCAAAACATAAAAGGGAGAAAGACAAGATATGATGCACATCTTTTCCAGGAGTTCTGATAATTGTGAAGGAAGGAAGTGTTCCAGTAAAGATTGCAAGTGTTTATTAAAGCTCTCTTTGAGTAACAGATAAACTGAAGAGGTCTGGATTGTCTCACAGACCAGGCCCTTCCAGAATCCTACTTGAATGAGAGACTCTGCAGAAGACCAAGTAATTGGACACCTCTGTTTAAACCTTAAGAAAATGAAATTCAGTCAGTCCGATGGCTGCATTTCTATAACAATATCTAATCAGAGTGATGACTGCACGGGAGACCATCAGACTGTTATGACTAGGGATGTGAAGCTCTGTTCCAGGGTGACATACCCATGATTTAAGAAGCCCTGCATACTTGGAAGGTGGTATGAATTTCATTGGCTGGTAGTGAACTCACAGTAAATCTTTTGGCCTGTAATAACACAAGGCCACTTCAAGCCAAAGGACTATAATCAAGAATGAATTTGTTACATGGATGAAATTTTTGAACTGTTGCAGTTCAGGACAAACATGGTAATGATGAGATGAACAGTGTCATGAATAGCTTGCTACGACAGCATGGCTGCAGAGACACACTCCATCTGTCTCAGAATGACTAATACAAATTACATCTTGGGATTTGTGCGGTCTTAAAATGGTTTCAGTTATGACAGGCTGGTGATTCATGGGATTCAGCAAAACTGTGAAACATGAAGAAATGTCCTACAGCACCCTCTAGTGTATTTGGAGTTCAACTGTTTGTGAACGTTGGTGTCTGAAGCCGGCACGTTTACAGATAAAGTGTCTTTCTGTTAATTGAGTCTCTGTGTTGTTGTGTCTTCTCCTTGATTGTCCTCCCAATTATGCTCTTGTGTATTTAAACTGTCCTGTGTTCCCTCCTCCTCGTCAGATCCTTATTGAGTTGTGTCTTGTTTAACCTGCCTTGTCTCTTTGTGTCTTAGTTCCAGTTTCTACCGATGTCTGAGCTCCTGGATGTAACGATCACCTGTGGTGGCTGGACTTTGTACTGTCTGTATTTTCATTAAAATCATAATTTTTACCACAACTTGGGTTCAACACGTCATCCTCACCATTTACAAAAAAAAACCCATTTCATGACAGTTTCAAATACATAATAGGTCGACACCAGTGTTTCTCACTTCCGGTTCTCAGCACCCACTGCCGTACATATTTTAGATTTGCTCCTTTTCTAGAACACCTAACTCAAATGATTGCATGCAATCAAGTGCTGCAGAAGTCTGAGTCATTCAAGTTAGGTGTATGATAGACACACCTAACACATGTCATTTTCTGTGCATCCCTGAGGACTGAAATTGAGAAACACTGGTGTATACCTGTAATCTGGACTTTTAAAAAAAACACGAATTGTTAGGAGTTACAGTGTCCTGACCTTTCCCCCCCAGAATACACATTTCTATTGAACTACTTTGCTTGATAAAAACAAGGATAATTTTTGGTGTTTGTAACTTAAATCACTGTCATTTTGATATACGTTTCTTTTAAAAAGAGTTTTCATTTGACTACATATTTTCACAGACGTTGGCTGAATATTTTGAAATATCTTAAGTGACTCTGAACGGTGTCATGGGCAGAAAATGGGTGATCTGGTGATTACTAATTTCAAATATTTTTAGTTACTCAAAATAACCTTTTGAGTAACTAATAATAAGCTTTTCATTCTTCTGAATCTGCACAGAACAAACCCAAATTCAATCATTCACATATGTAAATGTATGAATTGTATTAGGTTATGTTCAACCTGGTCTTATGACAAACAGCAAAACAAACAGCATCCAAAAAAAATCTAAAAAAAATAAGTTGTGGAAGCTGTTGAAACTTTTACATTAAAAACAGACAAGATGAATGACATAAAGGCTTACTTTTTTCACAGAGATACCCAGTGAACCCAGGTGAGCAGATGCAGGCTCCACTCACATGGTCGCAGAGGCCTTCATTCTCACACAGACACTTCTGAGCACATCCAGGTCCATAATGACCATTGACACACTCTGTGGAGCAGGAAGACCAGAACATAAGTATATTTAAATCACATTTTAAATCTCAAGCATGAAATAAACACAAAATGTAACATATTTTCCTTTCAATTAGTGTCATGCTATGTTTGCTATGAAATATATTTCTAAAACCATAAACAGCGCGATATTCAACTCAAGAAAGTTTGGTTAAAAATGCAGTAACAACAATTAACCCCATGGTGGCAGCATTCACTAAATGTTTTGAAACTCTGACATTAGCCCAAACTTACTCTCTTCACAGTAGACTCCGGTGTAACCAGCTTCACACACACAACGACCACTGACCGGGTCACAGCCCACAGAGCGATCCTGACACTGACACCTTCCAATGCAGCCTTGGCCCCAAAAACCAGGTTCACATGCTGAACAAAGTTAGGCAAAACATACTGATAAATTCCATGTGTTTTTCTTTTCTTTTCTTTCTGTACTATTCTGCCAGACTTGCTGTTTTATTCTTACTTGTCTCACAATTGTGGCCAGTTTTGCCAGGGGGGCAGATGCAGAGTCCATTCTTTGAGTCACAGCTGGCATTAGGGTGGCAAGAACAACGCACGAGACAACCAGGTCCAAAGTGGCCTGCAGGACATGCTGTGTATGACACGTGGATACATAGAAAACAGATCAATATATTTCCAAGCCATCATAAGGGTATTGTTTATCTTATTTTTCATGATGTGACATGACAAATCAAGGAGTAATAAATGTCTGAGAGGCTTCACCTCTCAGTATCGCTAATAGTGATAGTGAAAATCCGTATTAATTATGAACACATTTATTCGCAAAAACATATGGCATAAACATAACTTTCATGTTCACATGAACATATACTGACTTAGTGACTTTGTATCTATTCACAAACAAATCTCACTAGTTGTGACGTGGTATTTTCAATCCAATTTTGTTCAGGAGCATCAACAAACATTTTCCTCCTAAAATTCTCTTTTCATGTATTTTTCTTTAGGATGTTGTAATAAAGTAGGTGACGGAATTAATTGGAGCACTTTCGATAGATTCTGACCACTGAAGACCAGAAACACTATGAATGAACGGCAGTCTTGGAAATGCTACTTCCTAATAAAACCATCTCTTGCTTCTAAAACATTAACTTTGAGAAAAAAGTACTCACTCTTATATCCCAACCGGCAATATAAAATTATGAAGAAATGAGTGTTACTTGCTTCACCTCTCAGTATCATTAATAGTTACAGTGGAAGTCAATATTAGTCATGATAATATGTCTCATTTAAGTTTTTCTTATTGAGTATTAAAAAAAATAATAACAAGTTCTCCATTGGCGTTTATACATAAACTTACCGTCTTGACAGAGATTTCCCATGGAGCCTGCTTTGCAGTTGCAGGTACCAGTTTGCTTGTTACAGGAGCCACTATTCTCACAGACAGGGCAAGAAAACTGGCACTTCAGTCCCCAGAAACCATCAGGGCAGTCTGTGAAGCAGAAAGTTTGTTCATGTCAATGGGGAAGGAATCTATTTTTGCTGGTTAGTTTTGTTAAGCCTTATGGCAGTTTCACATAAATCATTAGAAGGTTCATGAAGATTAAGCTACAAATTGAAGAGGGAAAAGTTTAACATTGGACAAGTTAGAAATATCTCCCAACTTTTAACTATTTTAGTCTAGAGGAAGAATAAAACTAAATTGCTGTTTGACAAGATGAAGCAATGCAGAGCTCCAAAAGCCGCTGAGTTCAAAATGGACTTCAATGAGTTGTGTTGTCTCTGTAAACTATTAGTTAGAGACAGTGTAACAAAATAAACACCTTCCTGGCAAGAACTTCCTCTCCTCCCAGCAGGACAGTCACACTCTCCAGTTACAGCATCACAGGGAGCTCCTCCGCAGTCACAGGTCAGACGGCAGTTTTCGCCATAGTTTCCTGTTTGGCAGGCTAACAACAGTCGAACACAAAGAAATTAAAAGGAGGGGTAAATAACTCAGCATTCGAGGAGCAGCTCTAAAGAAAACGCTGGTCAGGGCTTTTATGTGTTGAGAAAGAAAGCCACACAAGAGAACATTTTAGAAGATGTTTATTTGTTCAGGCTCTGCCAGTAACTTCTGGAGTTGAAACTGAAGTAAATCTTTTCTTTCATGACTTCGCCTGGAACATAAGAGTTGGAAATTCAAAAAATGTCAATGACTTACTTTTAATATGCCTTTGAAGAACTCAGTGGGCTTGCCTCTACCTGATCCTCAATATGAACATACTTTACAATTGGTTTTGGGGGGGGGGGTTAGTGCAGTTCACAAGATTACTATTCCTGAAAAATATTCACCACTGCCATTTAATTTCAGGAGCACAGCTATCGAATTTATTCCAAGAATAAATTTACTTTCACAAAGTAAATTTAGGCTTTTTTAATTCCAAGTACTTGATCAATTTACGTAATCAACAGTATCAGAATTAATAAAAAAAAAAAAAATCACATGATGACACAACATAAACCAGGGCAGAATTGTGAAGCGGAAAGAAAAGGATTTGTGATTTCCAAAATGTGTGGGGTTTTCTTGTTTCTTTTTGTTAAATCTGAAAAGTGTAAAGTGCTTTAATGTCCAGGCTACCTCAGTCAATACCTTGTGAAAACGCGCTTTATTTGTAGCTGATGTTATTTGTGGCTACATCTCTTAAGTGCTTTCTACATAGATTAAAATCTCTACCATTTGTTCTTATTCTTTGCAAAATAGCTCAAGTTTGAGCAGATAGAATGGGTGATCATCTGTGAATCTCAGTTTCAAAGTTTTGTCTCAGATTATGTTGGTCTTTAGGTCTGGACTATGTCATAACATAAAGCAGATCATATGCTTTGTTTAATCTAAAGAATTTCATTGTACTTGTGACAGTGTGTTTACCGCTGTGGTCCCATATCGTGCTCCATTTTTCACAAGTATTTTTTTTGTCACCATATTTTTTGCTTGTCACTGTATATTTTTTGTAGGGGGGGGGAATCACAGGAAGCAGTATGGATGCAAAAAAAAAACAATTACACAAAAGTGTTTCACTGTAAAGATGGTTTGTAGTTTGTTTTGTCACCTAAAATGTGAAATAAACTTCAGTGGGGTTTGAAAACAAAATATGGCTATAGGTTTATGTCTGGTTGAACCATGTGTGTGCCCAGTTGTTGTTATTTTCTCTTTTTGGGGGGAATTTTATGGTAATCCATAGAACAACTGGCCTATTGTGTTCCTTGGTCTTCATCATGTTGTTTGTTCACTAATGTTCTCTAACAAACCTCTGAGGCCTTCACAGAACATCTGGTTTTATACTGACAACAAATTAGACACAGATGGACTCTTTTTACTTGCTGGGTGATTTCGGAAACTAACTAGTTGCACTAAATTTTATGAAAATATGTCAGAGTAAAAGTGAACAGAAAAGCACGCTTGTGGGGTCTTTATTTGCATTTATTCAATTAGCATTTAATCTGTGCTGGTCTATCACATTGAATAAAACACAAGGAAGTTTGTTGTTGTAACATAGCAAAATGTATAAAATAATAATAATATGTAAATACTTTTTCAAGGTTTTGGGTGCAAACAATACCTTCACACAGCAGTATGTGCCGTCAATCACATGACTGTTCACAGCATTGAGTAAAGCAGCTATACCTTTCTCACATAGCAGACCATGCAAGGCCTCATGCCTTCTAATATCAACATTCTAACCATTACACTTTAAAATAAAAAGATTTAGACCAGATAAGTTCTATTGAGTATAATAGCATGGGTTAAATCAAAATAATTTAATGAGGCATTTCTGATTTTTTTTTTTTTTTTTTTTTTGTAAGAGCGTCCTTTACTACATATGAAAGCAATGTTTTGTCTCACCCAGTTGACACTGGTCCCCCTGAAGCCCAGCAGGACATCTTTGGCTGCATAGTCCAGTCTTAGGGTCACATGACCCTCCACCTGGACAATCACATGACTGTTCACAGCCAGCACCAAAGAAGCCTGGATCACATTCTGCATTGGGAGATGGACAAAAAGGGAGGTTTCCACAACTGCAAATACACTGTTTTTCGAAGCAAAATGCAGAAAACAATCATGTTATTCAGCTCATTTCAGCTTTCACCCTGATTATTTTTAACTCTTTTATAGGACACTACTTGAAAAGATGCATTTCAAAGTAAACCGCATAACTGAAAATGTGTTTTCCCTGAGTGACTTATGTCAAAAACAGACTAAATAGTTTATCATAACATTTTAAACTGTGAAATGATCAGTTCATTAATATAACCTGTAGAGTAACATCTGACTAAGCCAGACTGTTTGCAAGGTTCATAAAATTTCGGTAGCATTGAGTAAAGCAGCTATACCTTTCTCACATAGCAGACCGTGATATGCAGGCTTACAGAAACAGCTTCCTGTTTTTGGGTCACAGCCACTGGATTGCTCTTGGACACATTTGCATTCCTTGGAACAGCCTGCTCCGTGGGTCCACTTGGGACAAGCTGAGGGACGGACGGGGTTGTTGAAAAGAAGACATGAACCAAAAAGCAAGAATTCAGAGGTGTAATAAAGAATGTTCTCAAATCAGGACTGAAGTAAAGAAAACATGCAGCTCACTGTATTTATGTTCTTTAACAAAAACAAAATATGTTGGCCACTTTTGTTTGCTTAAGTTGAAAGGATAATCAAGAAAATATGCAGAAAGGAAACCCGAATGATCAGCTTTCACTTTGAATGAGTAGAACAAACATGCCATGTTATCATAACATTAAATTTCAGTTTGTCTTAGTCAAGCCAATTTTAACACCATTAACTGAACTTTATGCAAACTCCCAGTTACTTATGTTTGAGTGTCTATTTCATTTTAAATCATAAACTGCTAAATGTAATGGAGCCATTAGCATTTTCTTGCTTAAACTCAGGGTTCTTCACACATACAGCAACAGCTACCAAACATATGACTATGAGAACAGATTAACTGTTATGCCCCTAATCACTACAGCTGAATCCTGCCAAGATAGTCCCTACTTAACAACAAACACTGAACTGCACTCCACCCAGTCCCTCTCCACCACTGGCTTCATGTTAGGTGCAGCTGCAGCCTCCGGTTACACCCTCTCCACCCTCTCAACGTCCCCGCTTGCAGGATGGAGCAGACAGCTGGAGGATTCTGATCATACTCCTTCCTTCTGCTCGCTTTTCCAGTTTGGTCTTTAAACTCTGAAGAACATCCACCTCGTGAAGAGAACAGGGAAATCTTCTCAACATGTCTATCCGGAGGTTCTGGAGCAGCCCGAAAACCCTGGGAGATGTGACCGTTGTGACAGAAGAGCTGAAGAATCTTTACTACAAGAGGCTGCTGCCTATTGAGAAGCACTACTCCTTTCATCACTTTCATTCACCAAGTTATGAGGATGCAGACTTTGACAACAAGCCAATGGTTCTGGTAATGGGTCAGTACTCGACGGGAAAGACGACTTTTATCAGGTAAGCCTCAAAACTCAATAGTACAAGTAAAACAGTCGGCTGCAGGTGTTCTGTCTAAGGCAGATGTTGGTAGTGTGTTATGTCTGCTGAATTTGCAGATATTTGCTTGAGGAAGAGTTCCCTGGCAGCAGAGTTGGGCCAGAGCCAACCACTGACTGCTTCACTGCACTCATGTACGGAGAAGAGGAGCGAGTGACCCCTGGGAACGCCATCACGGTGGATCCCAAGAAACCGTTTCGCAATCTTGACCCTTTCGGAAATTCTTTTCTGAACAGGTAAGAAAGACAAAGCCTAAGAGAGAAGGTTAAGCCCAGGACATCTCTATGTCAATATGTATTGGAACATCATTAGGGTGATATCCATCATGTTCCTATGCAGAGTTACAGGAGCACTGGTACCTCACTCCAATGCTTGTTGGGAAACCAGTGAACTAAGATGTAACACCAAATGCAAATGGATTTTTTTTTCTTTTCAGATTCCAGTGTGTGCAGATGCCAAATCCAGTCCTTGAGAGTATCAGCATAATTGACACGCCAGGGATCTTGACTGCCGCTAAACGAAAACTTAGCCGAGGTGAGACAGACTGTTTTCGCCTTTGGTAGAACAAATCACTATTCCTCCAGAAATTCTCACACGCACAGTACAGGGTGGACTACACTGTGGCTTTAAGATTCCTTTAGGAGTAAGGTCATAGAAGAGGCAATGAAGTAGAAAAGACCAGCCCTTCATAAATCACTCAGCTGATGTCAGAGGCAAAGCAGAATAAAGACATTAGCGAGGAGACAAGCAGGGAGTAACTGAGCAGCCGTTGCTTTGTTTTACAGACACATTTTTTTCTGTGGGTGTAACAGTAATGGCTAGAAACCAGTGGGTACCATTGGGACCTGCTGCATGCTCCTCCATGCTGTAAGGCTGCATGGCTTTTCCCATTGGATACGCTAATGAAAACCTTGTGTTTTTCTTCTTTATCCTAAGGCTATGACTTTCAAGCAGTGCTGCGCTGGTTTGCAGAGCGTGTGGATCGAATCATCCTGCTATTTGATGCACACAAACTGGAGTTCTCCGATGAGCTAACCAGGGCCTTTGGAGCTTTGCATGGCTACGAGGACAAGCTGCGTGTGGTTCTGAACAAAGCTGACAGGGTGGACTCGCAACAGCTCATGAGAGTGTATGGCGCCCTCATGTGGTCGCTGGGGAAAGTGTTCCGAACCCCTGAAATCTTACGGGTTTTTATCGGGTCGTTCTGGTCAGAGCCTCGGCTGAGGTGCGACCACTACAAGCTGATAGAGCTGGAAGAAGAGGATCTGCTAACGGATATTAGGAACCTGCCACGCAACGCCGCAGTGAGAAAGCTGAACGACCTGGTGAAGAGGGCACGTTTAGTCAGGGTAAAAAAAAACACTTAATATTTATAAATTCACCTGGTGTTATATATATATATATATATATATATATATATATATATATATATATATATATATATATATATATATATATATATATATATATATATATATATATATATATATATATATATATATATTTTATATATGTGTGTTGGGGGGGGGTGCGTGTGTGTGTGTGTGTGTGTGTGTGTGTCCCTGTAAATTAAACTTTTTATATGAACTTCTCATTTGCTCCCTTCTTAGGCTCATGCCCACATTATCAGCCATCTAAAGCAGGAGATGCCAACAATCTTTTGCAGAGAAAGCAAGAAGCACAACCTGATCTATAAGCTTCCTGTTATTTTCACCAAGATTCAACAACAGCATCGAGTCCCAGCTGGTGACTTTCCTGACTGCACCAAGATGCAGGTCAAAACAAATCTCTCTTGCTAAAATAAAATGTTTCATGTGATTTTTCTATCCTGTTGCCTTCAGTGAGTCTCACAATGTTTGCATCCATTTTCAGGAGAAACTTTTGGGTCACAATTTTTCGAAGTTCAAGACTCTGAAGCCAAGCCTGATGAACTCCTTGAACAAACTGCTAACTACTGAAATCGCCAGTCTGGTTCCTTTATTTGAGCAACAAGAGCAGAGGAAGAAATCACTACCTGCCGTGTTGGATGGTGAATTTCTGGGAACATTCCGGCGTGATCAGTTCAAGGGAGATCCGTTTAAGGAAATGCTCAAAGATGATGAGATCAGCGACGCAGATTCTGATGAATGGGTTGTGGAAAAATACAAACCTAAGTACGATGAGATCTTCTACAATCTAAGTCCACACGATGGAAAACTCTGTGGCACCAAAGTCAAAGAGTGGATGACGACCACTCATTTGCCCAATTCGGTTCTTGCTCACATCTGGAGACTGGCAGATGTAGACAGGGATGGGATGCTGGACAATGATGAATTTGCGTTGGCAGTCCACCTGATTGAGGGGAAGCTGGACGGACACTGGTTGCCCAGAGAGCTTCCTTCCCATCTGGTTCCACCCTCCAAGCGGCTTAGTACATCAAGCGATGCACCAGCGTAATCTTCTTATCAGAATCAAGAGGACTGAGGAGACATCACTTGTATAATTTGTAAAAAATATTTTAAGCAAACCTGATGTCACTGATTGTGGGGCCCATAAAAATGTGCAATGTTTTATACATTCATAAACTTATCCGTTACCAGATTTTGTTCTCTCTAACATAAAGTGTAGTACATTCATTAAAAACATTTGTATTATTATTTTAGGTTTTACAATATTTTGTCATTATAATACGCTTTCTGTCCTTCAACTTTTCACAAACCCAGGTGGCAGAAACGACCATATAATCCCAAAGAGCAGAGGCAGGCTCCATAAAGTCGATGGCAGGGTCCATTGTTGGGACAGTTGCACTTTTGTCTGCAGTTCTTTCCAAAATAGCCCCTCAGGCAACCTGTGAGTGAAAACAGTGCCAGAGAAATTACATTTAGAGTACATAAGACTTCAAAGTGGACTTCATGTTATATGTCAACTTTTCATGTTTTAGTTTGTTTGGAAAAAATTTTGATTAAGTTTCAAAAAGCCGGGACAGAGTATGTTGACGCCTGTCCATCCTATTGTGTTTATGTACTTTCCAAAAAATTCTGGTTCCAGAAAATTTTTACATCTTTTTGTCCTTTTTATATATGGTGCAAAGATATATATGTTTGCAACATTGTCCTTTTTGATTGCACGACCCTTTAGTTATAATATGGGCCATGTCATTTGCTTTTCAGTATTCTATCCCAGCAAAATTTCAGAAAAAAAAAAACAGAATCTTGAAGGCAGCATTTTGTGGTTCCAAAATATGAGAATACAAACCGTCCTCGCAGAACTGGCCATTTACCCCGAGAGGGCAGAGACACTTCCCAGTCACAGGGTCACATGAGCCTCCATTCAGACAGTGGCACATGCTGTTGCAGGACTTCCCATAGCTCCCCAGACGACAGGCTGGAGACAAACAATGTAAAGAACCCTTTTTGTTATTTATAGATGCAAACTAAACAATGAAGTAAAAGAAGGAGACTTCTTTACCACGAAAACATAAAACAAGAACTACAACACATTTAATGTTAGGAAGTAGTCAGCAACTGATCCTGTGCTCATCTGAGGTTCTTATTCTCACAGGTGTCATAACCAACTCTGGCACAAACGAGCAGGATGTGTTAAAGAGCAACATTCCTACAGTGCCTGCTTGAACTCCACCTCACACTTTCCTCACGACTCTTTTATGTCTCCTTGAGGAAGATCGCTTAAAACAAACTGGAGAAGCATAAACGTCATGCTATTTGATGGTAGAAAAGCACAGATTCCCTGTACTGAATTATAAAGAAATACGAGGTATAAGAAATACAAGATGAGGAGGCCAGAAAGGAAACATGTAACATTTAGAATTGCAACTAGTTCATGAATGTGATCAGACAGTATTTAATACAACATAGTTGAGCCTGCACCTAATCACCAGGAGCCACTTTCAAGATGTGACAGATTGCTTCTAAATATACTTATCCCACATGTCCTTCTGCCTCGGACCAAAGACAGCTATTAATCACTGTCCTGAATCAGAACAAAGGAATCTCTTTCCTTACCCAGTAATGGACATCCTTGACCTCAGGCTGTAGTCTTGCTGTGGCTCCTGGCCACACTCCAGCATCAGATAGATTTATTTACTGGTCCCCTTGTGTTTTGGAGCACATAAATAACCTCAGACTCCCACTCTAAAGAAACGACTGGGGTTGATCCATGGCTCTGGATCGATGAATGCTGTGAGCTATCTTGGCTCTTACTAACAAACAAAAATAATGCTTCAGGTTGTTCCACTGACCTGGATGATGAAATATTGCTTGTAAAACCAGGCTGACTGTATGTGCTTTAGTCTTGCCAGTGTAGTTGATTAGGGATGTAAAAGTTTTTGGATGCTTGGTAAACTATTTTCTCAAGAAAATTATGTGCCTATTCAGTTCAAAGGTTTAGACACTTTTTTAAAATCACTATTACTTCATAATCATGTGCCTCATTTCCAATCTGAAACAAACGTCCTGATTGAAAGAAAATAATTTTACATTTAAATCAGCTAGGTGTATTAATATTTCTGCCCAGACAACATAGTTTTGCTGAAAATATGTCCAAAAGTTTACATGCTTAATACACATGGATCTTACATGGTGTACAAGTGAAAGTTTTCTTGACAACTAGAAATGATCTCAGATGTTTATTAGATGTTTTCTGAGAACTCGCCTGACCATTGCCTTCCTATGCAATTCTGCTCGACTCTAATTAAACTTAATTTTTCTGGGTGAATTTCACCCAAGCCAGTCAGCAGAAGGAGCAGTAGTGAAAGATGAATTTTTGCACTTTTTTCTAATGGAAAAAACAGAACTCTGATGCTGTCCAGATGAAACATAGGAAGTTTACATCAAAAAGAAAAGAAAAGAAATGATCCTCACTCTCGTTGCAGATGATTCCTGTCCAGCCAGGCGAGCAATCACATTGGTTCTTGTTTTCACTACATGCTCCATTCACACAGTCGTCACAGCTCACACTACAGTCATCCCCAAAGGAGCCCTCTAGGCACACTGAAAAGGAAATGGTAAACTCCAAATTACTTTTCTTGTCTGTAGATTTACAGAGGGGGCAATAAAATAGTATTGATTTGATCAGACGTCCCCAGAAGTGACATCATTCACATTTTTTACTGTACCTATGGTGCTTTCCTGTCTCAGCTCGCCCCTGTGCTCTCTGAGGATCTCTAATTCTTTGTCACTGTCACTAACATGATGACCATCATCATCATCATCATCATCATCATCAGTGCTGTGGCGAACGTGCAGGGCTGCCGTGTAATGCAAGAGCTGAGGAGCCTTTCGAAACAGCAGGTCAGGCAGTCTGTCAGCCTCCAGCCCTTCCTCTTCCTCATCCAGCTCACCGCCATACAGAGCTGAACACACACATGGGAAAGTGAAGCTCAAGAGCAAAACTTAATTTGTTTTTATGTGACGTCACATTTTTGCTTGCTGATGGTTATAACGTTGTGGTTTCTCACAGATGCAAGAGTGCTGATCCAGATCCAAGCGGAAGCCCATTTGGCAAAAGCACTGATAGGTTCCCAAGGTGTTGACGCAGAAGTGTTCACATCCCGATGTCTCTGCTAGGCACTCATTAATATCTAGAAGAAGACAAAAGAATTAAAAGCACAACCCTGCCATGGCACTGGCAATTTATTGACGTTGAAACTAATCTGCTATGCATAAATTCTATAGCATGCATCTGGAGCACATTTAAGTAAACTTTGGCTACTTCATGAATAATATGCTCTGTTTTCCATTCTCTGCGATGAAGTAGCCTTCAAAGGGCTAATTTCTGGACGATGAGTTATTAAGCATGCATTGGAATTACAACCCAGCTGTTCTATAACATAAAAAAAACACCAGACAGGCTAATCTGCTAGCAATCTTGCTGCACTCTCACCTTCGCAGCCACAGCCATCTGGGCTCAGTCTGTGGCCTGCTCTGCAGCTGCACTCATAGCCACCGGGGTAGTTTCTACAGAGGTGGCTGCAGCAGGACTCCACACTCAAACACTCATCACTATCTAAGGAAAGAACATGTTTTAAATGTTGACTAGAGAGACAGTAAACAGAAACTGGAATTGGAAAACTTCAGAGAATAGCAAAGATCTTACCTACACAGGTCCTCCTGTCTGTGGCCAACTGGTAGCCTTGGTTACAGGAGCATATGGGGCCATTGGTGGCATGCTCACAATGATGAGAGCATCCCCCATTGTTCTTCTCACAACTATTTACAATCTCCATCTCAATGCCTGGAGGTAGGAGCACCAAAACCACAACAAGAAATGACCATAATTAAAATGTGTAATAAATTACCAAACTTGCTTTTGGAGCTCTTCTTGGATCTGATTGTGACTTAATGATTGGGAGATTTTGAAAACAATATGTGTTCCAGATGCCAAAAGAAAAAAAAAAAACATTCATTTATTTCTAGAAAACAGCTCAATAGTTTTTCAAAGCACCTGCACTGTTTCTAGAAGCAGCAGAGACACAAACCGAAGGACAATAACATGCAAAAAGTTAATTGTGCATAATATTTGCATTTCATCTTCTTTCTAATTATCTCAGTCTCAGTAAGCATTTTTTGCCACCAATTCCTAATTGGATTTAAGTCTGCATCTTGACTGGATTACTTCAACAAATAGTTATGCTTTGCTTAAAAGTACTCCACTAAAAGGCCTGGCTGCATGTTTAGGATCATTGTCTTGCTAGAAAGTGACGCTCTGCCTCACTCTCAAGTCTTTTGCTGCCACAGACAGGTTTTCTTACAGTATTGCTATTCATTATCTCTTCAGCTTTGCGAGCCTGCATACACATTTGCCATTTTCAGATTTTTATTTGTGAAACAATTTGAAAACCATTTATCATGTTCCTTCTGTTTCAACACTATGTGACAATTCATTGATGGCCTATCACATGAGCTCCCAAATAAATACATTGGAATTCATAGCTGCATTAGGGTAAAATATGGTAAATGTCCAAAAGCATTAATTAATACTTTTGTAAGGTAACCAGCGAATTGTTTCAGCTCAAACAATTCGTATTTTAGCTCAATAGCACTCTCAATATCACAAGCCAATAACTGTGATTAATTTCTCTGTTTCTACTGTGAAGAACTAACCAAATACAAAAGAGACAAACACAAAGTTCTAAGCGTTTTAAAATTTTCTGAGGAAAGATTTGAGCTCCAATGTTGACTTACGGTAGCACTGCTTGCCATCGGCACCGAGTTCAAAACCAGGATGACACACACATCTGAAGGAGCCCAGCATGTTGACACAACCATGGGAACACTTTGCATGACCAGAGCTGCACTCATCAATGTCTACAGGAAACAAACAACAGCTAATAGTTTAGGATGTGAAGAAATGTGTGTTTAATCTCAGATATACCAAGTGGAAAATCATCACAAAAGTCAATACTTGTAGGCTTATTCTTTCAAAATACAATTTTCTTCACACAATTCACTGAAGAATGACAACTTTGAGACATAAAACAAACACTTGCTGACAGTCAAGAATCTGATATTTGTGTTCATCTTCACCAACAATTTACTGGAATTAGGTAGAGTCCATGATTCTAAGCAGCACTAGCAGGAGCAATGAAAGCAAAAGTATAAAATGAGACAAAAATAATCAATAGATAGCTAATATGAAGCAACAGAGGGAGTAGAGTCATATGCTACTGAACATTTGAAGCAATGCACGACTATTCTGGGTATGAAAAGGAATTCTTTGCCTCATCATGCTCTTTACCAACCATACATCAATTCATAGCTGTAGGGTGGACGTTTAATACCCGCTTTGACCAGCCCGTGGTTTAAAGTCATTTTCTATAATGTACTTATACTCTGCAAATATATTTGGTAATTTCTCTCCAATAAGTTTGATCTACCAACAACAAGTTACACTGAATTATTGGACGAATCATTTTATATTTGCATATGGCAACTAATCCGAATCTGAGTCTTAGTCCATAAAAATGGGGTTTAATATAAATGGTTTGTTTGTGAAAAGAGTTTGATTAAAATTTGGAACTGCAATCCAAACTGGGCTATCCTAATAAAAACAGAATGCTTTGTAATTATCAAATCCAGAAGAATGTTTTAAAACTGGTTGTTTTTGAGTATTTTCCAGAGCCGGTGTTCACATCTGGAGGCCTTTTTGTGTTCTATCTGTGATGGATAGAGCCGGAACACATTAGAAGTGGAGGTCTTCATTATTATTTTGAGTTACATGAGCCGTAGGTCATTGTCTCCAATGTAATATTGAACAGCTGGTTCAGTTTTTTTTCTTATTTGTAGCATTTTAAGTATGAAATGTAATTTACATTTATGTGTTTGAGTAAATGTGTGATATGTGACAGAAACAGATCTTTCTTACCTTCACAGTTTTTTTGGTCTCCAGACAATACAAAACCAGAACGGCAGCTGCAATTTGCTTTACCGCCTTTGGAGTTGCAGAACTGTGCACAACCTCCATTCCTCCCCTTACAGGGGTCCCTCACTGACAAACACACAAACAAATAAACAAAGCTCATACACAGTCTATAATGCAGACATACACAACCTTACAGTTCATAAATTGAGAAAAATCCCAAGAGAATAGATTTCAATTTATGGTTTTACTATGACCAAACTTGAAAGATTCAAGGAGTATGTGTTTTCTTGCATGGCACTGCAAATGTGCTTGCATGAATGAAATATCTTCTGACAAGATCACTTACATTCACAGTGTCTCCCATCTTGTTTCAGCTGGTAGTTCCTTCTGCACTCACATTTGTACTCCTTGTTTCCCACATCCACACACTGGTGCTCACAACCTCCATTCAAAATGGAGCAAGAATTTACAGCTAGCAAAACAGAGACAGAATCATGACGGGTAAAAATGATAAACCGGCAAAACATTCATTGGTTCTGTTATCCAAGTGGAAATGAAAATATAGTAAAAGCTTCTCTAATGAAGGATGACAGGTGAGACCAAAATTATGAGCTTCCTAAAACAGCCTTCAGACTTCAAACTCAGCAGCTATATATTTGTGGAAAACACAAGGGAAAATGCTTAAAACCTGACAATTACATTCAGTGCTCCTACAGTAGTTACTAAAAGGTCATTTCCATTTCTGCAACTTAATGACATGCCAAACAGGAATTCTAGTCATTTACCTTTAGGGTATTCTCACTGTAAGCAAGATGACAAAGACTGGTAGTAAAACTGTAAGAAAAATACAATTCTAAGACTGATTACTTTAGCAGATATAATTAGGTCCCCCTTTGGCACCCTTACAAATCTGAGCATTAAGGATAGCCATAACACTGAAAAAAGACATGTTTTCTTTTACTGCTCGAAAGGTAAAATACATATTGCTAGAGAAATGTTATGTTACTAATCATTTATTATAATTACATGTTTACTTATCACATCATTACATTTATGTTACATCTGTTTCACTTATTACCTTATATTCACATTGATAATCACCTCCCCATCATTAGTATGATGAATAACATGGTAAATTTACCTGTTACTCATCATACTAATTATCATTTAGCATTTATTGATCACAATGTTTTTTGTTATGACTCATTTATTGTTTATTTCATTGTCATTTAACCTTGATGTTTTCAGACAGTCTAGTAGCATTTGTCTAGAGGAACTTCATTGTAACCTTTTTATGACTTTGTTCTGACACTTCAACGTTGCAGAAAATTATTGTTTTCTGTGTTATATAGCAAAGAGCCATTGCGTCAGATGCTTTGACAGAGTAAGCTTATCCAAAGCTTATCCAAATAAGTGAGGCATTTTCTGTTGTCAGAGAATAAGGTGATTTTACTGAGTTTAACTCATCCTATTCCCTCCTTGATCAAATAAAAATCCTGTAAATGAAGATATATGAGTATCTGTCTCTGATTTGACTTTGTCTTGAAAGGTTCCTGACACTCATTTTTCTGTACATGGATTTGAATTATGTCACAGATATTTTGATTTCAAACCAGTTCAGAATTTGTCTGTTTCACACTTTTTGGACCGCAAAAAGTGGAGGCTAATAATAATAATCACACTTCAAAAATATTCCTTTAAAACAATCAGGCTGGTAATTTTCACAAAACTCCTATTTGTTTTCTTACCAATGCAGGTTCGACCATCTGAGTGCATATGAAAGCCCTCGCTGCACTCGCAATGATAAGAACCTGCAGTGTTGACACAAGTTTGTTGGCATCCTCCATTGAGCTCATCACACTCATTTATATCTGGAAAAAAAAAAAAATATATATATATATATATATATATATTAAAAACATGTTGTGGACATACTTTTAACAAGCCTTCATAGAAAAATCAAAGCATTCATGAAGCATGTCTATTTTTATGTAAAACAGCACAAAAACTAAATACCACTACAGAGGAAAATTCCGACATGTTTTAAAAACCAATCTAATGATACATGAAATCAATGAGTTAAATAATCAAAAACATAAAATATTCAAATCAGACAAGAGACAGGGATTCTCTATTTTATGAGAGCTAGTTTATTTTCGTATTAGATATTTGATTATAATATCTTGTCCATGCAAAAACTCTGACAGCTATTTCATAAAAGAGCCAAAGTCCTCCAACAAAATGTACCCTCAGTAAGTATAATTATTATCCTCTGAGCTTTAATCAAGTTTGATTCATTTTTAATCTTGATCATCAAAACTCAATCACTCTCTTTTTGAAAACACTCATTTTATGCTATAAGTAAGATTTATTTGGTCTGACTAAGTTTCTTTGGTTGAATATTAGATTGCTTAACATGTGTGTTTGTGGCTGTGTGTGTGTGTGTGTGTGTGTGTGTGTGTGTGTGTGTGTGTGTGTGTGTGTGTGTGTGTGTGTGTGTGTGTGCAGTATGTGTGAAATCTCTTGTTCCTGAATGCATTTTCCTGGGATGGTCACAAACGGTTGCATGTGTGTTAGACTTATGCTTCTGATCCACAAAGACAGAAATAAGTTGTCAAGACAAAATACCAGAATGTCATAGTGAAGAATCATCAAACTTCACTTCATATCTGGACAACACATCCTCAAAAGCATCGCCATGGCTTTCATCTCCCACTATGCAACTTTGTGGATGATAGTGTACTTGAGTGCATAGAGAGCAAAGTTAATATCACCTCTGAACTCACATTTGGCCACTTTTACATCTCCTAGTAGAGACCACGGTTAATAATTATTGTTAGTGAATCTCTGCAGCTCCTCGTGAGTTTCTTGACTGCTTCTCTGACGGCGTGGGCTTCAAACAGTTTCAAACGTGCGGAAAATAGTCGATGTACATTAAAAGCTTCTGGAAGCTCACATTCTGAAGAAACAACGTTCAGGAACCCACACTCAAAATGCTCGTACTAAAATAAATGTGAAGTAGCTTTATAGTTTATTTCGAAATAATGTTAGAATAACTAAAGAATGTGTGTTCAGCACTTGCAGATAATGCTAAAAGCATAAAACTGCAGACGTGAGAGGATTTCAGTGGGAAAGATACAATGGTAGCTTTTCACTGTTTCATGAGGTGGTGCCTGGGGGAGCAGGGCCAAGATCAGCAGTGGTGGTGCCAGGGGTCAGAGGTCATGAGTTCTGAATGGTTTAGTGTGACACAATCAGGGTCTAAGCTGAGATGCTGAGACGGCACGTATAAGTGGACTAAGTCGTGGATTGGACGTTAATGCAGACGGCATAAAGGCGCCACATAGGAAACAATCTGAAATCTAAATGTGAGCCAAAAAATATGCTTGCAAGACTCAGACTATGTGCGCAAAGAAAAAGACAAATGTAACAATACAGATTTCTTAAGAGACTGAAAATAGATTTGTAAAACAAATTCAGTAGTAAAAAACTGAAATAGTAGTAAGAAAGAGTAAATAAAATTTGTAAAGAACGGCAAAGAGAGTTTGACACATTCCTTCTTTGGGTTTTGTTGCATTCAAATCTCTAGCAGTCTGTCTTACCATTGCAAGCCTTGCCATCTGGCCCCACTTTGCTGCCTTCAGGACATTTGCAGTAGTAGCTCCCAATGGTGTTGCAGCAGTAACCCTCACAGCCACCTTCATCCACTTCACATTCATTAATGTCTGAAAGGACAGGATTAAAAAGCCAGGTTCATTTACCGTGTACATTCAATATGTACTTCTGATGATATTATAGACAAACTGCAAACACTGTGAATTTTCCACATGGCCCATTTTGAAGTGTGTCTAATCAAAACCAGCTTGTGATCAAGGCTTTTCATCATCAGTACAATATGTTAGCCCTTAACTTTCTTACTGTTTGATTTCATAATTGTATTTTAACATTAATTTGAAGGGTGCACTTTGTTTCAATTCATGAAAAGGGTAAACCTTTTAGAATACATCCTGTTCTTTGCCTAGACATACTGTCTTTGAATTCACTTGTTGAGACAAACAATTCTGCAATAATTCTAAAAATATCACTGAATATGAAAAGATTTACATTAATTAAAATTAGGAAGTCTGTCTTATATTTCAAATGAAAATATAAGTATAAGTTTGGAAATGACTGATTAGGACTAAACTGTAGTCAATCATTACAATTTGCTGAGAGATATTCAGCTTCTGAATATGAATTCAAAAGTTGAATATGTATCAGCATATTCAGAAAATGAAGGCATGCATGTTGCAAAATTCTATATGTATATTAATATCATATTCTGCTATGGTCATGGTATATTAGTATGGAATATTTACCACAACAAATTATATAAAACAATGACTGATAAAAATGTGTTGAATTCTACTAGACCACAGAAGCTAAGAATGGGTCGCCATGTTTGTTTGTGTCAGGCCACACCCACACTTAGTTTCTAAGGGCAAGCAGGTTTGTCTGAGTTGTTTGCTAGTTTTTGCAACGCATCAAAGTTCAAAGGATTATTGCACACTAGCTGATATTTGCTGTTCTTTATTAACTTTTATGACAGCAGGGAAGCATTATTTGCTGCTACTTTGCATCTTCCTGTTGACCATCCAACCCTTTACAAGCTGAAGACTGAACAGTCTTCAGGATTAAATGATTATATTCTGTGCTTGCTCACATTGAGCTGCAATCGTCCAACTTCTCAATTATATAAGCAGGGTTGAAAAGACTAACTTGAAAAGCTCTGATCAGCTCATTGATTTAGATTATTATATTTGTTTCTAAATAGATGATTTACAAGAAAAAAAAAAGAAAAGAAGATGGTATAGAAACCAGAAATGCTTTACAGAAAGCAAACCATTCAGAGTTTTATTTTGCAGTCAACTCCAGAAAGTTTGTAAAGCTGCATTTTGGGTACCAGAAACTGACACCTGATGCACTGAATCCAAGCTGAGTGACTTTTTGTTGCTGAACAACATTAATAGGTGAATGTACTGTACCACGCAAGATTGTGCCACAAGAAAAATAAGCTCATTGCTAAAAGAGGATGCTTCAGTTATAGTCTTAATTACATGCTTAAAATAAACATGAAAACTGTGCTATAATTTTTTTGATGTACTTTTCGGGTCATGCTTGTGGATGAAAATGCACTGCAATAAAATGAAAGTGGCCTCCTGTTGCTTTATGGGTGGGAATGATAACGGTTTCCCATCATGTAACATAAAGTTCAGGCAGCTTTAAATACTCTTAAATGTTCCTGACTCCTGCAGATCTCATCAGGTGCTGCTGACATTGGTGACCTCTGCAGCGCAGTGGCTCCCCACTTCCAATTCCTCCAAGGACCCACATTCTTTCGCCTACTCAGAAACTATTTGAAGCGCATGGATGTGGAATAAATCAGTAAATCTTCAGTCATGTGTCCAGTGTCCTTGTGGTAAAACCATTAAAAGATACAAGCCCAGATCAATAACAGAACAGGAGGTCTCAACAGCACAGTGTGGAGATACTAAAAGCTATTTCATGTCTCTTCAATGCCAGATGGAGAGGAAGCAATGGGAATGTGTATTTCCAAGATTTGTTTCCTCACATTTCCACTGTGAGAAACAATCTGGATGTTTTTTTCAGCTTGTTCTTGTGAATATTAAATCATAATTTGATCTTTTTACTTTCCTAGAAGGTCCATATTACTAGTTTAAGTCTTTAACACTTATGACATTCAGTTTTTTGCTTTCTGAAAATCTAAAAAGGCAGGAAACAATCGTTAGCTTATTTTCTCAACTAGAAAATCGATTGCAACAACACCAATCACTAAACCAAGTTATCACTGCTGTTTGCCAAAAATCTGACTGATGAGCTGCTTCATCTGATCATTTAATAAGATCTACTTATATAGCAAGAAGGACAAATAAAAAATGCATAGCCTACTAAACAAACTGGAAGTACTTTTTACAGGAAAATTATCAGCTTCAAGCTGTTACTTTAGAAAGAACATTTTGGACAAGAAAATTACGACAGCATGCTCTGATGGGAAAAACAGAAGACCCTGTGAAGCAAACCAAAAGGAGGGAAAAAAGGACTTGGGACCTGAACCTGCCGCAAAAAGGAATGCCGGATGCAGCATCAATGCTCCCAGTGGAAAATAAAACAACAAACAAAAGTTGGATTGTCTTCAAAATTTGACATGGTTGAGACAGGGATGCAATCAATCATGGTTTGGACAAAGAGAAAAAGCCAACTGTCCTCAGGTTTCCATTCATGCATATAACAGCATAAGTAACAGATATTCAGCAACTGTGAAGGCAGTTATACTGTAAATCAATCTACAATCACAATTCTGCATTGTAAATCATCCAATACCAGCAGAAAATAACCTGTTAGACAATGTTATTTGCTATCATCAAAACCGGTTCTGGACAGTGTACTGTCCAAAAGTACTTTGTAAACACTCAGACATCTTTAACGAGAATCAGATGATTTCTGTCATAACACTTGTGTGCCCATGGTCTCCTAATTTCATGCAGACCTATGCACCAGCTTGACTTCAAGCAAAAGTCTGATCTTAGACAGAGTGGCGTTCAAAAGCAGGCCAAATGCAGCTTTTTGCCTGCTCCGATGTTTCAGCACACAGTTAGAGCTAAATCCAGACTGGAGATTGAAAGCAGCTGGTCAGGCGACCCAACACCACACAGCAGGGTGCGCAACCACAACTTGGCAGGAACACCAAAGAGACTAATAGTTCAAGAGACCAAATAATAAGTGTTGAAAAGAAGGGACAGAGCAAGATCCTTATAAGTCCCAAATTCTGTTGTATTATTCTCAGTGCGGCAAATCCTGGATGAACTCAACATGTGCCTGTTAACTTGGAAAGTCCACATTCAGGTCATCCAGGAACCTCATCTGTTTAAAGATATCCACGTGTAATGGTGATTGTTTGATGGAGTCTAAACACAGAACAGTAGACAGACATTTTCCAAGGAGTTATGTGAATTTTCTAGACAAGTTCCTCTGCTGCTTTGACATGGAGAGATGAAATTTCAAATGTGCTGATCGGTTCCCATGCTTTGTTTCAGCTATCAGCACCAAAGGAAAGATGACTGAATATGCAGTCACAGGAAACTTTTTTGGTTGTACCCGTTCAATTACCTCTTTACACAAATAGCAAATCAGCCAATCACAAGCAAAGGTAGTAAACTAAACACAAATCTGAAAGTTCAAAAACAAGCATTATGGCTGCTTCTGAAGAGGTAATTCCACATTTCAAAAAGCTAAAGTGTATAGTAACTGCTTCAGGGTTTGGAGTAGTATATATAGTTTTCTCAAGTTTTTCCTTATTTTACTTTGATATACAAATAAGAAATATAAAAATACAAAAATATATTAAGTTAAATTTGAAAAAACTACATTAAAATTATTTTAAGTAAAATAATTAAAAAGTCCAAATTAAATCAACATAGATCAATATTCCCAGGTCTATACTATATCTGTTTTCCTCTATCATAACTGAATGGAAGCAGTGATAAATCTGTCACTGAGGAATGTTAAAGCTCACAAGACAAAGTCTTCCATATTTACTGTAATGTAAGTTTTATCTCGCTCGTTTATAATTGCATGAACAGACCCAAAATAAATACCAGCATGTCAAACTTAAGCATAACATTTTTTTCAAGACTTGAGATTAATTCTTAGTTTTATGAAAAACGTTTCGCACTGCCTGAATTACAATTATATCCAGTGAATGGTGCCAGGAAATATTTTGTTGTATGTCTTAACTTGTATCACATAAAAAAATGCAGATGTTCAGAGAGGTACTGACTGCCACATGAGCAGAGTCAGGGCAGGGATGCACACTCGCATGCACACACACACACATACACACACAACTTAATCATTAGCATTTCCTAAGTGTCGATCAAACACAGAGAATGTTAACATTTACATTCTTATAACTTGTGAAGATGTTTTCAAAATCTCAGAGTATTTTTGGGATTGTTCTATGTGTTTCAAATTCATAAATACTTTTGTCTAGAAATATGAAGATTTAATATTTACAATACAACAGAAAATTAGAAAAGGTTGCCAGAAAGAAATAAACTACTGACACATTTTTTAGGTGTTCGTTGCATGCATTTGCTACTGTTTTAAATGAGGGGTTCAGTAAAGGAACCCGACTGGACGCAGGGACTTGGCTTGAGTTGACATAATGAGTCTAGCAGAAGTTAGTGGATAAATCTGTCAGGGGAAATGGGAGAAGGTAAAATGTTTTACAAAGTGAGAAGTCCAAGGCCACGGTGGATTACAGCACAAAATGCAAAGGAAAGAAGGATGAAAAACAGTGGTCATTTCAGATTGTGAACTGCCACCTTGAAGAATAAAAACCATGGAGCTCGTGCCAAAACAAAAGTGAGGACTTGCCTTTAACAAACATCCTTGTAAAATGAATCAAGTAGAGATCTGATTAAAATCCCTGGCAGTACAATGACAGGACATTCCCTTTTGGGAAGATTGAAGAATCAGATGGAATAACTTCTGCAGGGTGTTCATTGGTTTCAAAACATGTGAGAGGCGTGACCAACAAAATCTCTACTGGATTTTGTTTCTACAACAGCTTTCTCAAACTTTAACAACTCTCACCCTATTAAGTTTGGACAGGCAAGGGACATACAGACAACCAGGTCAGCATGAGCATACACTGAAAACAAGACAGCAATAAGCTTTTAGCCAAACTTTACACAAAATAGTTCATGTACGATTCTGTTACATTTTAATAACAGTTAATGGATGTGTTGCTTTCTGCAAATTTATTCAAGTTCAGTGATGCTAAATCGAAAGTTAACTATAAACATTTCATAAATTACAAAAGGTATTGAAAATAACAGCATATTTTTTAGTTGGTAAATATTCTCTTAAGTGGTAATGAAAAACTTACCATACTGGCACTGTGGACCTTTGAAGCCTAATGGACAGTGACAAATAAGCTCCCCAGTCTCTGCACATCTCCCACCGTTAAGACAGGCATTAGCACTGCACACCCCTGTGGATAATTCAACATCACACACCATCATGTTGCTGACATATTTGGTTCTGTTCTAACTGGAAACAAGTGAAGCACTTCTTGGCAGAAAACCGACAATTTTCTAATCAATATTTCCATTCAATTTATGTCAGATATTTGATGTATATCAATGAGATGCTTATTTACTCACTATGTAGACAGCCCATCTCATTATCTTTCTGAGCCCAACCGGGACAACATTTATAGACTGTGTGAAAATCCATGCTGTACGCTTGTCTGTATGCTATGTAGTACGCAGTCCTAAGGAGAAGACGTTCTGTTACATGTTCATATTTTTAGTATTGTATTTAGTATTTTGTAAGCATAAAACAATCATAGTCATCGTTATACAAAATACATAAAATCAAGTAAAAAAACTAAAAAGATTTGCTGGGCATTTTGTACATTGGCCATGTTGGAACATTTCTCTCTACTTGCTTAAGAATTATGTTAAAAGTACATGTGTGGAATGTGGTACAAACTGGATTTTTCTTACCTTCTCTCAAATCCCACACACCATCTGCGGCCTGTGCAGCCCTGCTTCCACACCTCCATCATGCGGGTGAAACCCTGAACACAGGGCTGGCGGACCCCCAACATGGACACCTCCTGTTTGGCGCAAACATTTGGCCTTTGCATGTGGAAAGGTACAGAAAAGAGTGACATAGCAGTACTACAGCAATACTGGTTTGTCACATGGATGACTTCATTGTGATGGTGGTGTGATCCCCCTGGTTATCTCATAGATCAGCTAGATAGCTAGATAGATAGACGGATGCAGTTCGTACCATGCATAAATCAGTCTACAAGCATAAACTCCAGACAACTGTTTAGTTAGCTTGAATTCATTTGTGTTGTCATTTCGCGTACCTTACAAACTGTCTGCCTCCAAGAGACATCTGGCTTCAATAAAGCTTGAAGTTAATTAGAGGAAGTACTGTGGTTGTCCCCTAATGAAAATAATCCTCCTTTAATATTTATCTGTTTGCAGATGATCTTAAATTGGAACTCAGTGGTAGAGTGCCATATGGATAAACAAACAAAAAGTAACATTCCACTGTAAGTAAGTTTGATGTAAAACCGCTGTTGTATGTACAGTAAATATCCTGACGTCCTGGGACCTGAAATGGAGACCCCTAGTGGGCAGATCACACATAAAGGACACAAGCAAAAGTTATTTCAAAAGCAGTCATTTATTCGTCTATCAAAATGGTGATTCCATATATATATATATATATATATATATATATATATATATATATATATATACTATTAAAGCAGTGTTTTCTCATTCACCTGGAAGTCACCAATTAACGACAGAAACGAGCCAACATCTTACTTACATGCCAAGCTGCAGGTCTGTAGATGATGCGACGTGCATCGCGCTGAATAATTTCACACATATATAGAAAATCTTTGGAAACATAGTTTCAGCTGCTTACAGACACGTTGTTGAAGATTCAGACTAAAAAAAACAAAAAAAAAAAAAGCCCGTTAAATCCGAAACATTCTGACAAAATGACGGAAGTCCAGGTTCAAGCTCAGAGATTTTTTGATTTTGATTCCCGGTTCATGCCACTGATTAGGTGAAGGGGAGGCTCTCTGAGTCTGTGAGAGCCTCTGTGTTAAATGCACCACCCACAAACACCCGGGACGGTGGGGGCCAAAAGGGGGCTTGTAGGACGCTGAATGTGGAGTCTGCTTTGTTGTCGCAGCCTACTTTCTTTTTTTCTTTCCTTTTTTCTTTTCTATGATCTACTGGAAACAGCAGAACATGCAATAATAATTCAGTGTGAAAAGCTAAAAACGAGGATTAGAATAGAATAGAATAGAATAGAATAGAATAGAATAGAATAGAATAGAATAGAATTCAACTTTATTGTCATTGCACTGTCACAAGTACAAAGCAACGAAATGTAGTTTGCATCTATCCAGAAGTGCTATACAGGATATAAATGTGTATAAACAGGTGTACAAAGATATGGTGTATAAACAGAGAATAATAGTGACGTGCTATAAAATTAAATGTTTTGTATAAATATAAATATGAGAGCTATAAATATAAATATAAATACATATTATACAAATTACACAGATTATATAGAATATACAAGAATATGAAGAATGGATTGTATATATATATTAGTTGTTTTATAATACAGGATAAATAATGGCAAACATTATTAGTCTAGACATTAAACGACCAATAAAGCATTTCCTTATTATTTTCAAAGGAAAATTGATTGAATATAACTTAGTTATACGGAAATTCATACACTCCAGCGCGGTAGATGGCGATAAAGTATCTTTACGTTGGATGCGCCCCGCTCGAAAATTTTAAGAATAACAAGAAACATTTCCTGTTTGAAGTAGAAACAGGGCAAAGAGCGAGAGGAACTTCCTCTCTCACATGAATACAAAGAGATGTTAGACAGCTGTACTATTTGGAATTTTTGTTCCTAACCTAAAACGTTGGAGCACCAACAGAAGTCCCTTCCTGATTTTATTCAATAAAAACGTTTTTAGAGAGGCCGCTGCGTTAGCCAACAACGAGGACGGTAAGTAACCGCGCTGAAGTGTTAGCTCGAAATGGCGAGGAGGCTAAGTTGTTTTTCTTGCCCTCTATCGGCTTTCTGGCCATATTACTGATTAAGGTAGATGCACGCACATTTTAAATAATGTGGACGTTAGTTTGCTACTGGTAAAATGTGTTTTTCTAGTATTGATAAGTCAGTGCTAGCTTAATGCTGGGCAGCATAAATGTCTTTCTACAGAGATAGCGGTTTGGTCGGGTTTTTTTTTCTGCTTTTATCATATGATAGTATCACGAGATCGAGGTTTCCAACAGAGCAAAATCGGACTGTTTGAAAATAAACAAACCACGTCAACAATCTGTGCCAACGTACAATAACAGCTGTGGCATGAAAGCACTGCTAAAAGCACTTTTTGCGAGTCACAGCTCCTGTTTTTATTCCACAGAGTCAAATGACCGGAGCAGCGTTTCCATCCCCGACCGTAGAGATGGCGGAGATTAACCGCATTCAGTATGAGCTGGACTACACCGAGGGGATCAGCCAAAAGATGCGCATCCCGCAGAAGCTCAAAGTGGCTCCTCAGTCACAAGAAGAGCCCAGTGATGGTTTACAGGAAGTGCCCCCCAGCGTCATAATGCAAGTGCCAGACAGGATCGTGGTTGCAGGTTGGTGTCTTTTACTTTTGACTTCCCACATTATTATTTGAATTTGACATTTTTGTATCAGTATTTTAGGATGTGTTTCTGAATGAGAATCTACAGATAAACGTAAACTCATTTGAAAAGAAAAGAGCAAACACTGGTTGACAGTTTGTTTTGTTCTGATTTCTCGAAAACTTTGTCAGAGTTTGAAAATGATATTAAAGTTTGATTAGCTTAGTTAGAAGTACATACAACAATAAACATAATGCAGCCGTAGTCAGACAAGTGTTAAAGATGTTTATGTATGTATTTTCTAAATTTGTCCATACACACAAAAGCCATAAAATAGTTATTTACCATTATTTAAATTATTTGTGCAACACACAGGTAATACATCCACCCACTCTTATTACCATTTTAAGAGCAGATTTTACCTACTCAAATTTTGTGTAAAATAATTGGCAAAAATTATTTGAAACTTGGAATTTAGAGATGGAAATGTGTAGAAAGATGATGCTATGTCTAGCTGCTCAAAGCTCTGTGTCTACAATCTGCACCATTATATCAGCACAAGCTTGTGCCACACATGATATAAAAAAATGTATTTTAATTTTCAATATAATTTGTGCAATATTAATATCACAGAACTCTATTTGGAAGGAAACTAAGCATAAAGAAATTGATGCTTAGTTTCTGCTTTTTGATGAAGTGTCACTTTATCAGGAGTCCACGTCTGTCACAGATCATAATTCCCAAGAGAATAAAGGTCACAGAGAGAGTTTGAAAGCTTGCAATGTCAATCACGAAGGAGAGGAGAATGTGTTTTTATTACAGTTAATATTTAACAATAATATTGCCATCCGATGATATCTTTAGCCTTGTTACAACTACTTATAAACAACACAGAGCCAATATGCTTTGGGGCTATTTTGTTTTCCTCATCATATCATGTCTGTTGTTAAAAGCCAAAAATGAAATAGACTTTGGCATGTCAGTTTCTAATGCAGAACACAATGGCTTCCATGTTTTGTGTTGGTGCTGATTGTTTAGTTTCACTTTGTGATTTGTCAGGAGATGCAGCTGACTCCCACTTCTCCAGACCCAGAGACTTAGACCTCATCCAGTCAACACCCCTTGAAACTCTGGCACTGAAAACTCCTCCCAGAGTCCTGACCCTCAGTGATCGACCCCTGGACTTCTTGGAAGAGGAGCATCAGACAGCTCCAGACACTGAGGAGGTGGTAGGTCATAAAACCTTAATATCTTATAAGTACAAAGAACTCACAATTCTACTTGGTGACATAACATCAGCTGTCTTAATTTTTCTTATTATAGATGCCGCCCCAGGGACGTGTAAGGAGGGAGCATTCTGCCAGTGAGAATGTTGCCGTCCGCCAAGTAACTCATAATGAATCTGCGTAAGTATTTCACCACAGATGCCATCATTAGCTAAGCTCTGTCTTAGCTCTGCTGATGTTTGCATGTAGTAGCAGCTGTGTCGTTCTTCTAGCTCTTAGTTGTTATTGATCCATTCTTGTCATCCATCTGGTCGTCTATGGCTGCATCTTGTCTGGCAGAACATCTGTTGCTTGCAGATAAATAATGAAAGCAGCCTGTCTTGTTAGTTATTGTACACATCAAATAATTAAAAGCTTTGGTGAACAGTCACTTTTGGTTTTATTATGTGTACTGTGATAGACGGTTAGGTTGTGGTGATGAGTAAAAGCTTGTGAAGGGAAGAGGTTTTCTCCAGATTCTTTTCTCCAGCACAATATCATGTGGCATGAAGTTCATCAAGTTGCTTTCACGTCACGAGAGGGATTAGCCTGTTTCTGTTCATTCCGAGTGCTTTTGCTAAAATGGCTGACAGGTCTCCGTTGCTGCTTCTTTTCTTTACATTGATCTGTCTAAAGTTTTTATAAAGACAGTGGGGGGTTGTATCTTTTCCTTATTTTTCTCCCTTTCCTTCCTCTTCTTCTGCCCTTTTCCCTTCTTTCCCTTCAAATTTGCTCCTTGTAATGGTGGGCACTGAGCAGTACAACTTCGCACCCCCCGACCACTAACCAGTCACACCCTTCCCTCAACATGGCTGAAGAGCACAACGTGTACAGCGGTAGCGGTGTTCTGTCTTTCATCCAGTCCACTACACGTCGGGCCTACCAACAGGTCCTGGAGGTCTTGGATGAAAACCCACGCAGGTGACCTCCCAACTAACTGGTCATTTGTTCTTTAAAGATTTTTGCCAGCAAAAACTTCTTTAAATGTTTTCCAAGCAGTTTATTCCGATTTTTGCCAATGCTGATTTTACGCTCTTTGGCGCAATTGACAGACTTTTTTTTTAGCACTGGCAATTTGTAATAATAAAAATATGTCCAGATGATGATAATCAGAATATTAAGTAGTTTGTAATAATAGTAAAACAAGTTGTGCCTGATGACTTAAGCTTGCAGCTTGAGGCTTGCAATGAAGCCAGTTCTTACAGCAAGTATTAAAGTCAAACAATACATATGATTAAGAGAGCAGTCGTCAGGTTTCCTGACAATGAACGCTGAGTCAGACTTCATATTTATCTTTGAAGGAAGGTGAACAGTCACTTTTGAGAAATCAGCTCCATTAATCTGAAGAACATCAAATATACTCTGCAGCTGCAGCAAAAGGAAAGTGTAGTTCTCAATTTTCAGTTTAAATTGAGAACTACAATTTAAGTTCTCAAACTTAATTTCTAAGTTTGTGGCAAAAAAAGATGCAAGTTTGCATACTTTAGAAAAAGTACCTTTTTAAAATTTTTACTAACATTTTAGCTCTCGGTTGCCTCATCCCTAGTCTAGCATAAGTTCACTCGAGGTGAAGACACAAAGACTTCATCTTCAGCCCCCCCTCTGACTGCGAGGAGAGGATTCTTAAAATGCTTCCCACATGTGATCTCTCTTCAATAACGTGAAACATATTAGGAGTTCTCGTGTTAACTATGGCATTGTAGAAGCAGCTCAGTCTTGTGGGCTTTTATGGCATATGTGCAACACTGTTTTTCTAGATCTCTTTTTCTTTTCTCTCTTCTCTGTGTTTTCCCACATCTTTAGCAAACCGTCTATGCGAGGGGGGTCAGGTTTGAGCTCCAACCCCTTGCCTGACTCCAGGTAACTTCACCTGGCACTTCAGATTTTCCTTCTCTTTTCCTGTCCTCAACCTTTCTTGGCTCTACTAGTCATTGTGTTTTAAAATGAGGTCCAGTAATTCTCAGCCAAGGAATTATGTTTACCTGAAATATGTAGTCTAGAATGTTACTACTAGGAGCAGTAGCTTATTTGGTTTAAAAAAAATCTAAAAGGAATTTTGTCTGCTTTTTAAGGTTTGTATTGTCGACAAATGAAAGTACCCTG